ACATGATGGGAATCGGCAGGGATAACTTCAATCCAACCACGTACTTGAAGAGTAACAAGGATGAAGACGTGAAGGCAATGCACTTTTGTTGCCTAAACGTCCTATGTGAAGTTATCCCGATGGTGACAGGACATCAACAATTTTCGGTACTACGAAACACGCCAACTGGACCGGCGGACTTTCTGTACATCGACCCGGTCGGCATCCTCTTGACTCATGCAGATTATTCCGTCCAGACCATTGGACTGCTCGTGGACCACAACGTGCAAATGCCAGCGCACTTCTTGGACAGATTGGTCAAGTCTAGAGTTGAAAGACAGCAACATCCGAATGTTCGACGTCCTGAAGCATTACATCACATCTCGGCCGAAGAATATCTCCCTCCGGGTGGTACTTCCATCATGGACACGCCCGTCACTACGGAGGAACGTGCAAGCGCTTCTTCGGCAAAGGGACCTTCAGGAGGGCGTGAGAGAACCGGAGATGATCAACATGGAGGTTGGAACGCCAACTCTTACCATGACTACATCGCCGGCAAAGGCCGAAACAAAGGCAAGGACAAAGGAAAGCAGAAGAGCCAGTATCCAGAGGAGAACCTCCGGCCCTGGGAACGCGATCCTACGTCAACGCGGAGATGGCGGTGAGACAACACATGATCTACCTCATCTTCCAGCTTGTGACCTCTGCGCTTCGCACGTGGAATCCCATCGCGAATGCTTCTTTCTTCGGTGACGCCTGATTCGTTTGCCATTTCAGGGGATCGTTGCCGACGTAGATGAGTGTCACAACGTCTCTAATTGGGATGCAAAAGCTCTGATCCATATGTCAAAGTTGCGGCGGAACAATTTTCTAATATTCCTGTCGTGCCAGCTTCCGGGTGAGCAGCGTCGGAGACGCAACTCATGGGGGGTGCGAACGGACTGCGATGCCTTATCAAGTTCTAAGGTGTCACTATAAGAGCTGTGAGCAAGACCGTGTAAAGTGCAAGGGAAGGGGGCACGCTACGCGTCCCTCGTCTCTAGGAGTAGGCTTGTGGTAGTGCTACGCACACCGCAATGCCTATCCATCCTTTCAGTATGACCGCCCATGCAACATTTGGCTCAAGAATGAGCACAAGCTCTAGAAAGCATTGCCCATAGCTAAAGTGCTATAGTCTTCTGTGATTCTCCGAGTGGACAGAGCTATCCCGTGCACAGACGATCCACCGCCGGCCGTGAGTGTGCAAAACGAGCGAACGTCGGATCTGCCTGCATAGGAGTGCGTGTGTGGAAGTGGAAGTAACAGTGATCCAGTCTGTAGAGGGCAACCACGCCAACAGTCAATATAGCTCTTTGTGGGGTGAGCGACAGAGAACATCACCAAGATCAAATCCCCACGCAGTAGTAGTAGTAGTAGTAGTAGTAGCAGTAGCAGTAGTAGCAGTAGCAGTAGTAGTGGTAGTAGTAGTGGTAGTAGTAGTAGTAGTAGTCGTCGCACTTGTAGTAGTAGTAGCAGTAGTAGTAGTAGTAGTAGTAGTAGTAGTAGTATTCTTTTGTAGTAGTGGTAGTAGTAGCAGTAGTAGTAATAATAGTTGTAGTAGTGTTAGTGGTAGTAGTAGTACTAGTACTAGTTCGAACACTCGACAACGCCAATCTCTGTGAAGGGTTGCAAGTTTCACCTCAATGCACATCAAAAGTAATAACTTTACCTCGCGTTCGAACACTCGACAACGCCAATCTGTGTGAAGGGTTGCAAAATTCATTTCAATGCACATCAAAAATTGTAACTTTACCTCGCGTTCGAACACTCGACCACGCCAATCCCTGTGAAGGGTTGCAAAATTCATCTCAATGCACATCAAAAAATGCAACTTTGCCTCGCGTTCGAACACTCGACCACGCCAATCCGTGTGAAGGGTTGCAAAATTCATTTCAATGCACATAGAAAATTGCAACTTTACCTCGCGTTCGAACACTCGACCACGCCAATCCCTGTGAAGGGTTGCAAAATTCATTTCAATGCACATCAAAAAATTGCAACTTTACCTCGCGTTCGAACACTCGACCACGCCAATCCCTGTGAAGGGTTGCAAAATTCATTTCAATGCACATCAAAAAATGCAACTTTACCTCGCGTTCGTGCATTCGACCATGCCAATCCCTGTGAAGGGTTGCAAAATGCCAATCCCTGTGAAGGGTTGCAAAATGCAGTTGAGCTGCGCCCAAACCCTGTGAAGGGTTGCACGGCGCCCGCAAAATGTGTAACTTTACCTCGCGTTTGAACACCCGACGAGGCGAATCCCTGTGAAGGGTTGCGCGGCGCGCCTAAAATGTGTAACTTTACCTCGCGTTTGAACGCCCGAGGAGGCGAATCCCTGTGAAGGGTTGCGCGGCGCGCCTAAAATGTGTAACTTTACCTAGCGTTTGGGCGCTCGAGAGTTCCAATCCCTGTGAAAGGTTGCGCGGTGCGCCTAAAATGTGTCACTTTACCTAGCGTTTGGGCGCTCGAGGAGGCGAATCCCTGTGAAGGGTTGCGCGGTGCGCCTAAAATGTGTCACTTTACCCAGCGTTTGGGCGCTCGAGGAGGCGAATCGCTGGGAAGGGTTGCGCCGGGCGCCTAAAATGTGTAACTTTACCTAGCGTTTGGGCGCCTGAGGAGGCGAATCCCTGTGAAGGGTTGCATTCCCGATGGACGACGACGGTGCCACCCCTGGCTTTAGAAGAGAGAATTAGATACCGAGATGTAGAGAGTAAGTCATAGAAGCATAGAGAAGTAAGTAAGTAGAGTGAAGTAAGTAAGTAAGTAAGTCGTAAGCAAGTAAGTAAGTATAGAGATAGCATAACATAGAGTCAAGTATCAAGTGTAGAGTCAAGTATCAAGTGTAGAGTCAAGTAAGGTATAGAGTCAAGTAAGTTGATTCTATGTCTGTCATCTATGTAGTATCAAGTGTAGAGTCAAGTAAGGTATAGAGTCAAGTAAGTTGGTTCTATGTCTGTCATCTATGTACTCATCTACCCGGCTCCGCACGGAAGAACCCTTCGCGACGCTTTCGGGAAAAAAAGGACATCCTCCAAGGGGCGATTCTGGACGGTAGTGCTGAGTCCCTTCAAGTCCTGGCCTCCGCCGGCATTTGGGAAGGTGTGGGCTCTCTTGCCACTACGTACCTTCAAGCGAGCCATACTCTGCCGAGACAGTCGATGGTCCGACTTCTCGGCCACCTTAAGGCGGATGTTGGCAATCTGTCGCTTGCTGAGGCTGTGCGCTTCCTTCTGCTGGCGGAACCCTTGGACCAACCGCCAACCTCACCCTTCAGGGCATGTTCGGAATTTCATGGTGCCTCCGTGTCTTGCCAAGAAAGCCTTTCGTTCTCTGAGTTTAAGAACCCTAGGCACCCCTGTGAGCCTTGAACCGTTGAGGGCAAGGTTTGACCCGGCCAACTGGGCTGCCAATCGTGGCAGCTCCCTCGCAAAGGTGGAGCCGGGATCGCGGCCGCCATGCCACACGTCCTTCCTGACAATGCTTGGCGCACTCGGGCAGCCGGCCCGTGAGCCAGCCTTGTCGTCACACGGTGATGTTGCCGTTGCGGAGGAGTCAATCGCTTCCCCGCTGTTAGTTTGTGTCGGACACGACAGCAACTTCAAAGGGCAGTCTGTTGCGCATTCGCAATCGAAAGCTCGGTCGCCTTCTTGCCCAATGGACATTTCGACGGCACCAAGTGAAGGCACCAAAGGGATCAAGTGAAGGCACCAATGAAGGGACCAAGTGAGGTTCACCAAGTGCAGGCACCAAGTGAGGCACAAGTGAAGACTGAAGACCAAGTCAAAGGCACCAAGTGTGGGCACCAAGTGAGCCACCAAGTCAAGGCACCAAACGCCACACGTGCTTTCTGCTGGCTCTCAAGACGACAGTATGAGCATGCTGCGGAGGTCACTTGGAGCTCTTCCACTTTCTGACTGCTCGTTTACGGTTTCAAAAAAAAGATCTTCAGCGCTCTGCCCGAAAACAATCACATGTTCTTGGTCCGTTGTGGCCTGTGGCACGAAACCACATTTATGTGGCCTCTTGTGGCCGGATGTGGCCGCAGCCTGGCCGCAAGACCAGACACTTGTGTCTGTTTCTGCTCTGTCAGAAACGGCTTTGGGGTCGTCTGGCTGGACTTGGGGGCTCCGCCTCCTTGCCGTCGCAGTTTTGGATCACCCTCTCTGCCCTCGGCCTGCTGCTGAGAGTGCGAAGTTTTGATTATGATTAGGACAATTTGTTTAAATGCTGAACAGCGTCGGTTGACTAAGTCCGCCTGCTGCAGCCTTCGCAGCAAGGCACTCGTCTTGACTTGGTTGAGCAGTTGTTTCACGGTTTTGCCAAACAAAGATTTATGTGGTTTGCATCATTTTAATGAGCCGTGTCTTTTGAAGCCTGCCTTTCGGCAGCCTGTGTGAGCATGCTGTTGAATCAACCCTGGCCCTAGCTTGCTTTCCAAGTTCCCACTTGGAGCCTGTAGTTGCTGTACTTTGATGTGTGTGTGTGTGCTTGTGAGCTTGACACCTTCCAGCATAGTCACTTCACATTGCATGTAACGTAGCCTTTTGTGTTGCGCGGTGTGGACGTACCGGAACATGCTTTATGCATGTGTCCCCATGCAGTTGCAGCTGCGCTTTCGACCAAAAGACGCGCTCAAAAACATGCGGAGTGTTGCTTGATTTGCCTCCAAATGCACGGCTCCTTTTGAATCTTCCCCTTAGAAAAGCCATTGACAACCACCTTTGCGCTTCCCAAGCAAATGGGATGCTTGTTTCCTGATTTCGGACCGTTTACGACCACGCGAAGTTGGTTTCGATTTCCTCTTCATGGTTCTAAAACGTGCTTTGGAACCAAAGCCGTTTGTTTGACTCATTGGTTAGCCCTACATCCTGCAAAGATCCATAGCCTCAAGAGAACAAAGCATGCAGCCGTGTATCAACTAGCAAAGCGTTCGACTGATTTAGCATTTTTGGGACTCGGTGCCATGGTGTGCGCCGAGTTCGATGGGGGCCAAGAACAAGAAACGTTTGTCAAAGCAGGCAGGCAGCATGCTGTTGAAAGACCCAGGTCCTGGTGTCCATTTCGTTTGCTTGCCTGCAGTTTGAACACAACGGAACCTCCTGAAGTGTTTGTACGTGCTGTGGCCCCGCGTGTGTGGTGTCTGCATAGGACACTGGTTGCAAATTGATAGCGAACTTAATTTGCAGGAAGTGCCAGCTCAGCTGCTGAATCAAGACGGCAGTGCTGAGCCAGACGTGGAAGCTGGTCGGCATGACTTGCTTGAGGAATCGACTTTACTTCGGGATGGGTGCAATTTGTGGACTCAGTGCCTGTAGCTTGAAGCGGACTGCGGGCATGTGACTTGTTCAGTCCCACCGTCCCCATCGAAATGATGAAGCCAGCCATGATTCTGTAGTCAAAGGTTCGGGGGTTTTAGTCATTGCCGCGTCACTGGCAGTGGCAGCATAGTGAGGGCACGGACATCATGTTCGAGCATCGTTTTTGTTCTTGTCAAGCACAAAATTGTTGTTCGAACGATAAGGAGCTGCGGTTGAATCCGCCGTTGGTAGAGTGGCTTCGCCCTCTTGGCCTCGACAGGCGTGTCCAGTAGTAAATAGCTTGCGATGCTTCAAGAAGGGGCGACAAGAAGCACATCGTACGCAACACCAGTTGCAGTTATGATAGCTACTGTTGTCATTCCTGCTGCGTATTTTTTGTTCTTGCGATGATGTTGATGAGCATGCTTCTTTTGGCATCATCGCGGCTACCGCTGCAAGTGCTGCCGTTCTGGTTGGTGATGCGGCAACTCAGATATTTTTCAAATTCGTGTCTTTGTGTGTGTGTGTGTGACACTGATACATGATGTGCCTTCATGACATCATCAGGAGACTGTTTGTGCAGTATGTTTCAGGTTGCAGACACTGGTTTCTTGCCGAGTTGCTACCACCGGTGTCACTACAACGGAGGCGGCAACGATGACGATGACGACTACTACTACAACAATGCTCTTGCTGCTGACGCTACAACGTTAGCTGCAAAACAACACCTGCTGCTGCTGCTGCAGCTGGTGCAGCTACCGCTGCCGTTGCTACTGCTACTGCTACTACCGCTGCTGCTGCTGCTGCAGTCAATGCTGCTACCGCTGGCACTGCCACAGCTGTGGTTGCGGATGCGCCACTCCTGCGACTGGTGCTACTGCTACTGCTCTCGACTACTACTACTACTACTACTACTACTATTATTATTATTGCTACTACTACTACTACTACTACTACTACTACTACTACTACTTCTAATCCAACAACAACAACTTCAACTACAAGTACCACCACCGGCAAGCACCACCACCACGACTTCTACGACTTCTACGACTTCTACGACTTCTACGACTTCTACGACTTCTACGACTTCTACGACTTCTACGACTTCTACGACTTCTACGACTTCTACGACTTCTACGACTTCTACGACGACGACGGCGACTACTACTACTACTACTACCACTACTACTACTACTACTACTACTACTACTCCTCCTACTACTACTACTCCTCCTCCTGCTGCTGCTGCTGCTCCTGCTCCTGTTCCGGCTGCTGCTACTGCTGGTGCTAGTGCTAGTGCTGGTGGTACTGCCACTGCCACTGCTACTGCTTGTAGCGTTCGAAAAATAGGTATTACCGGTACTAGTACTCGAGCAGCTGCTGCTCCGGCTGCCAGAAACAAAAGTGCTACTCCTCCTGCTGATGCAGCTGCCAGCATGCCACTGCTTTGTTCTGCTTCGCCTTTGTTGCTCCATCCAGGCCGCGTCTCTTGAGCCGTGTGGTCGAGGAGCTGGGCCTCCTCTCATTGCTGCCTTCGCTGGCCAAGGCGGATTTACATGCTTTGGGTTGACATGCACGGGTGTTTGCCACTCTGCAAGCTCTGGAAGGAGAAATGCTCCAAGCTGAGCGATGACAAGGCTGGTGGAAGACTTGATAAAAACACGTCCACTTATTCTTCGTTGCAGATGCAATAATGGAGGTGGGGGGGCTGTGGTGCCGCGGACATGTCCCGCTTTGCAAGCCTTGGGAGGAGAAAGGCTCGAAGCAGAGCGACGACAAGGCCTGTGCAAGACTTGAGAGAACAGGTCAGTTGCGCTGTGGATGCAACAATTTAGGGTACTCAAGTATTCCAGTTCTTGTACAGTCCAGGAGGATCAGATCGGAGAGCCCGTGGTGTTCAAGTTCAAAGGCCTTCCAAGTTTCAAGGTGCACGTGGAGCTGACTGGTGACGCTCGGTGGCCCTGTGTGCGGTCAGTGGACTTGCATTGTGGCAGCGACATCCGTGACCACTGCAAGCCGGATTTTCACCTCCCCTCCTCAGAGATGGCTTTGGGCGAAGCGAAGCAGTACTGGAGAGAGCGTTTTATACGGTGCTTCATGGAGGCACGACAGAAAGCCGGAGACAGCTTCAATCATCCCGCGACAGGCTCCTTGTGGGCAAAGCATGGAGCAGATGCGATGGTGGAGTTTCTGACAGAGCTGGTTATCGACGCAGTTTTGGCCCTTGTCAGGGACGGTAGCCCAGAGAGGCTGCGAGACCTGGAGCTTTCACACCTTTTTTCCCCGGAAGCCCCCATGGCGGGATTTCCGAAGCTCAATGGTGAAGATGGATACCTGTCGGTTGAGCAGCAAGCAAGCCCACCGCTGCTCCTTGGCCTTGCAGCAGGGGTCTGGAAGGCAGCGAAGAGAAGGGACAAAGGACTGCAACAGACTTTGGACAAGGTGAGGCATGCGGTGGGCAGCGAGCTGCTGAAAGCATCACTGAATGCTCCGGTGGCTTACAGGTCTGCGAAGAAGAACAAGCTTCTGTGCGGTCCCGTCCTCATGTTCCTTCTAGAGCAAAGTGAACAGGACGAGTTCGACCAGCTGGTCGCCAAGGACCACCGCAGCCGTATCCAAGCGCTGCTGCATTGCGGGGCCCAGGCTAATGCCCGGTACGCGATGTTTCCCATTGGTGCCCACTGTGGACTGGGCCAGTTTCCCATCCTCTGCTTGGCAGGCCACAGCAAGGAGACGGTTTCGTTCCTTTTGGAGTGTCAGGCAGACGTCACCCGACCGAGTGTCCAAAATTTTTTCCCTTCCGGAAATCCGCTTTGGATTGCTGTTTGGCGGGGCCAAGAGAAAATGATAGAGGAGCTGCTGAAGGGGAGGGAGGCGAAAGACGGCATGGAACCGGAGTTGGCCCTGGATGTCGACAGTTTCGGATGGTATCCAGATTCCTCCCCGTTGACTGTGAACCAAGAGGCTGCAGGCTGCAACGTACTGGCTCTGGCAGCTACGACCTTGGGAAACCGACTTGTGAGCAAACTGATCTCTCTGGGAGCCCAGTTGGGCGACTGTCCGAACGAGTTGGCCTCCTTTCTGGTGGAGAATGCCCGACCGCTCGCCCGCCACGTCGCGGACAAACAGCCTCAGAACATGGCAAATGGCAGTGTGCTTCAGCAAACAAGCGGCATGAGGATCGAGATTCTGGTGCAGGAAATCCTAAGAGACGATGAATCAAGGAGAAAATTTTTGGATGCCATCGACCGGGCATGCCACAGTCCTGGTTCTAAAGATTACTGCGACTTCATGCAAATGCTTTCTGATTTGATTGGAAGGGCCCCGGCAGCAGCTGCGAAGCTGTGCGACGAGAGCCTCGCACAGCCCAAGGTGAGTGATCATCGCCGTTACCCGCTCAGAGCCTCGTGCCTTTTCCAGAAGCATGAACAGCACTACAATGCTTATGTGGACACCATGGTCTGGAACTGTGCCACTTCGTTTGCTGACGAGCTTGCGCCACCACCAACCAATCAGAAGAATCTGCGTGATGTGTTGATGGTGAAGGAAAGCATGCACATTTGTGGCTTTTTCCGCACATTCTGGGAAGTTGCGAAAAGCATTGTGCTGCCGGATCAGCGCCAAGCCTTGTTTTGCAATATCTCGGTGCTGCGGACGCCGTTTCCTGCCAGACATCAGTTTTTGGGAAAGATGGCTGCAATGTTTTTTGTTGTTTGTACAACTCGGTTGAGACTTGAGACGTGAAGAAGCAAGGAACATCATCAACATCAGCATCCTGCAAGCCATGAACGCGCTTCCTCAGGACCAGCTCGTCTCGGTGTTCAAGGACAGTGCTGTGTTCAGAGCCGTTGCGCTGTACGTATGGACCGTCTTGGAGCCAGCGCAGCTGGGCCTGAATGTGCAATTTTCCGCCTCACGCCGATAGAAAGCTCGCAGCTCGCACGGTCACGGTCGGCAGCTCTCAGGTACTTCATTGATGTCTGGAGCACTTTCGCCCAGTTGGTGTCCCTCCTCGTGTGGTGGCAGCACCTCGGCCGGGTTCAGGCTCTAGTCACTCTAGTCGAGTCCTTGGGTTTTTCGGAGCGTTAAACGTATTGCAGGTTTGTCCTGAGGTTTAGAGCCTATCTTTTTGGGTTTGGGGTTTGCGGATTGGAGGCGGTCTAGTTCTGGAAGTTGATGCACATGTCGGCGACCTTGTTGCGCGCGTTTGAACGGTTCTCAAGCATTATGCATAGGCCAGTGCCCTGGTCCCCCTGCCAACAGGCTGATGATGAGCCCTCGGGTGATATTGCGAGGTGTTATGTCTTAGATGTGTTCTTTCGTCTGGCAGTTGTGTGGGCTTCAGAAACCGGCTGCTTCTGAGCGGATTACTGTCGAAGGCTTTTGAACTGCACCGCAGTCTTGCTTCTTTTCCGCCTAGGCATAACGACTTCATGGGTGAGTCTTCTTGTCTCGGCATTCTAGCAGCCTCACAGTATTCCGCTTGCAGGAACTCTGGCGATAGCACCTGGGCGGCAGCTCTTTGGATTGGGTTTACCGCAGTGGTTTTCCTCGACACCTCCAACTTGCTGCAGAACTTCGCTCAGCTGCAGCTCCCATCCCGGAAGCTTATCATACAGGTGACCATCGGCTTTTGGATGTCGTCCTTGCGCCTTGTCGAAGTTACGGCGGTTACGGCTCCCACTGGCTCGCGGCTCTGAGGGTTTAGGGCCATGGCCCGAGGACCTGGGGAGGCCGAGCTGGCGACAGCCGCTCTGCCATGGCCTCAAGTCTCGCGCTCTGCTTGATGGGGATCATCTATGAGCCGCCCGGCCCCAAAATGCAAAATGAGACACTCTCGAGGGCCGAGGGCCGAGTCGCTTGTGCCGAGGCTTCGGCTCTACCATCCTCTGGGTCTGCCACTGGGTCGCAACCTGCTCCCCATCCTAAAGGCAGCCCAGACCAAGGAGTTCGTGGCCATGCTTATCCTCATCATGTCTATCCTTCTGGCACCCGAGCTGCAAGAGCAAGATCGTGCACAGTGCAGTGCAGTGCAGCTTTTTAGCCGACTCTGAGCGTCTGAGCTTCAGCTGGAGGCCACCTTCTTGGCTGCCTGTGTGGAATTCCAGGAGTTTGACGGGCAGCTCTTGTCGGTAGCTGTGCGAACATGGCAGACTCTGATTGTGGGAGAGTCCTCGCTTTTCGATGTCGACAACTACGAGCATGCGGCCTTGCGTTACTTCGTGGTGTCCTTCCTCTTCTTCGTGTGCAACATCGTGCTCATGAACATTTTTATTAGTGTCACAGGCGCCGGCTACGAGGAGGAACGTGCCAACATCGTCGGCACCTTCAGCGCAGAACGCTTTCGGGTATGCATGGAAAGTGTGGAGGTCACGGGCTGGTCCAGGTTTTTTGTCCTGGTGGCCATGGTTTGCGGGCTTTGTGTACGGATGATGGTTAGCCTGGCACTCGGAGAAGTCTGGACCTTCGTCGCGGAACTGTTGGCCCTCCTCATCTGGCTCGTGCTCTACTTGTTGCAGTGGCACTTCTGCCAAGAGGTTGCGAAGCTTCGAGTGAAACCCGAGGACTTCGACCCTGAAGCGAGGAAGTACCTCTGGATCTGCGTGCCATCACAGAGGTTAGAGGTGGACGAGGATGCAACGGATGTGAGCCTCAATGAGACCCCTGCTTTGAATGGCCCCCTCTCCTGAACCCGGTGCCCCCAGCCCAGCCCAGCTCAGCTGAGCGCCAAATCCGCAAGCTTGCCTACCCAGGATTGTCACAAACTTAAACGAGCTTCGCGATTTGCCTCTCGGCCTCAAAGTGCTGGGCACCTCTGAAAGCCAAAAAGCCTCCCTGGCTCTCATATGCTCTCATGGCTCTCAGGTTGCAGCGGAGGCCTGCTCCCGGCCGCGTTCGCCGCATGCGGCGGGTGCAGGTGAACACGCACAGGCCGCGAGGGTTGGGCAACCCGAGTACATCCTCAGCAGAAGCCTGGATTGCATGCGGTCTTCGATCGAGTGCCCGATCCCTGGCTCCCACAGGAAATGGCTCCAGGACTTCCTGGCAGAGGCCGAGCTGGACCCGGAAAAGCCTCTCGTTGGGCACGTTGGCCCTTGCCCTTTTCCCCTACTGGAAATCTTGCCACCGTTCAGAATCACTCCGAAGGCCTGGCTGTCAGTCTAGTGCCCAATGCACGGTTTAGCCCTGTTTTCCGAGAGACAGCAACAAACGCTCCGACGCGCCGTACAGACGACATCAACCCAGGTACCTGGAGAGTGCGTTGCGATGGGCCGAGACGCGGCTCGGCGCCGGGCGATCTTTAGAAGTTCCGAAGCCGACCCAAAATCTCTCTCTCTCTCTCTCTTTCCCTCCCTCTCTCTACCGTGTGAACCCCGAGGAACGACATCGTCCAAAGCGACTTGTTCGGAGGGCCGGGTGCAGGGGTATCGCAGGAGGAGGCCAAAGCACATCTGGACGATTTGCTGGTGCACCAGGGCTGCAAGCAGGAAAGCTAGGTTAGTCACTCCCCTTGCAGCACAGACAGGCTTGGGAGAACTCGAGATTCTGTCGGCATCGGCCCGCAGGCACTTGGGGCTCAGTGATGCTCCGTCTCGCCGCCTTCGCTGGCAGCTGCAGCAGCACTGGCGGCCTCGTGCGTAGTGCCGGCGCCCTTGGTCGCAAGTTGCAGAAGCAGCCAAGACTAGAGCTTTGAAAGCAAAAGGAGAAGCGCTGATGCAGTCTGCAACAGGGGCATTACGTCGTCCTTGCCACTGTTGACTTGCCTGGCATTCACTGGAATTGCACGAGAGCGAGAGCCTGAGGCACGGCGAAGAGTCAAGTGCTTTTGCACGAGTCCCATCGCACAGCAGAGAAAGATGAGAGCGCTCTCAGCGTCGGAGCTTCCATACACGGTCGCTCTGTCAACTCGGGTCTGTGACGACTGGGTGTTTTTTTGGCGAGCTCTGTAGTCAGGAGATGGCTTGGGTTAAAGTCGACTGCCGCGCAGCTGTCCAAGACAGGCTGCCGGCCGCAAACGAGCCGTTAGGCCGCTGGGGCTTCCCTCACGCAACCCCACTGAAACTGGCCGTTATAATCCAAGTCGCCCCGATGTGGGAAGCCTCTCCAGCTGTAGCGTCGAATTGCTAACGTCACCCTGGTATTGCTTAATGGCAGGATCCAATCCTCGCGAGACCTCGCTCACATGTAGCCGCAATGTAGCCAGTAGCCTACAGCGAATCTCTAGATGCAGAAACTTCTTTGTGAGGGCTTCAGGAAGGGCTCCTCGGCTCATACCTGCCATATCTGGGAATCAAAGAGTCGCTGGGCTGGGTCCTGGGTTGGTCTTGCCATCAAGTAGATGTCAGGAAGAGAGCACTGCGGCACGCCCCACGTGCTGCTTTCCTTCTGTACTAAAGTGGCCTCCGCATTCGCTTCCAGCACGACTCTCGAAGGCCGGGCCTTGCGTTAATCGAAGTGGCGGAGTTTCTGGTGTCTTTCTGGAGCCTTCAGAAGGCCTGAGTTCGGTTTGGCTTGGTCTTGTTTTGTGGGGTCTGCCCTCTGTGGCAGCGGCGCATCCGCAAAGGCCTTCTCGGATCCTTTGCTGTCGGCACGGCCTCCGAGAGACATGCTGGGTGGTAGCTTCGGAATGCCAAATGGGCGGCTCGTCAAATGAGTTCGCAACGCAAGGTGGTTCCCGGAGCCCGGAATCAAAAGTGCGTGAAAAGAAGTTGATGGGTGTCGGGCGAGATTGCGACGAACGACGGGTCGAGTCTACATTAACTTCGTGCCCAGCATGTGCAATGATTGCTGTGAGTATAGCTTCAGGGCATTCAGGGCAGAGCAAAGTCAAGGCCCCAAATCCTCACTTCCGGCAGGATTGAAAACCACCGCGCTTGGCTTTTTCATTCCATTGTAAATTTGCCGAACAAAGAGACAAAAGAGTTCGCTTCGCTCATAAATTCTATCATCTAGTTTCTTCTGTGTGTTTACTTGTGTTGTAGTTAACGGACAAAAGATAAGGAACCGAAGAGAACGCATGCTTTTGTTCCTGTATATTAACAAAACAAGACAACACACCTCTTTGTTTTGTTTTGCTGGATTCCCTGCCAAGAGAGAAAATGTAGCGGCCCTTCATGGCCCTTCCTCACTGCAACCAGAAGCGCCCTGCAGGGCACTGGAGTCATCGTTCCTGATGTCGTTGGCGTCGCATCTGTATAGCTTTGTGCTGAAGGGTTAAAAGCAAGACTTGGGTCAACTCTGGAAAGTTGGGAGCTGTTGGCTAAGGTCTGCGTGCAGGAGTATCAGGGCTGGGCGGTGTTTTCAACGAGCAAACCTGCTCAAGCCTCCTTTGTGGTCCAGGGCTGACAAAAGACTGGTTTTGTTTTAAGGTTTAGGGTTGAGGGTTTAAGGATTCATGGGTTTCGGCTTACGGCTTCGGGGGCTAGTATTTTCAGGTATGAAAGTGCAGGTTCGGTGCAGCAACTGAGGCGTTGAATATGGGGTGCAAGGTTGTCGGTTTTGAGGGGTCTTTACATCATAGGGATCTTCTCGCTGAGGGATCCAGTCATAATGAAACCTGATGGAAATGTTGAGTGCTACATGCTGGAGTGTCTGTGGCGGCTTCTACACAAACCTAGACTCAACGCCGGGGTTCATTCGTAGGGGCCTCTTTGTGGATTTTAACCGTGAAGACCAGCCTTTGCGTCTGCCTTCAGCTGCATGGTCAGCGCCGCATTGCATAGCATGAAGATCCATCCTGGCATGCCGGAAGACCCCGTAAACAACACTCATGCCCTCGGCAGCCATGGCACGCTTGCAGCCGGAACTGGTCTGGTGCACTGGAAGGTGCGATGCTTGAGGCAAGCATCGATGCCAACAGATCTGGCGGCCTCATGCCCAAAGCAAACCAGGCTCCAATTCAAAATTTTGTGATTTTTCTTGGCATCCTTCATGCGAGTAGCGAGGCGCAGGACACCAGCGGCAGCGAGCCCCGAGAAAAAACGCTGGTCGCCGTCGCCGAGGCATCAGACAGAATCCTCGGGCAGAAGGTTTTTGTGGAACAGACTGTGCTGCAACTCGAGCGAGAACGGGAGTTTGCGGTCACAGAAATAGACAAGCTGTCTTGGAATCCGGCGGCTGTCTTTCAGTTTCCAGCGTAGATGTAGACAGCATAGACATTGTGATCCGACAGCTGAAATCCGTCTGTGCAGTGGTACTAGTACCGTTCACCTGAGCCAAACCCGGGGTAGCGATGCCACAGCGGGGCGGCTTGCTGCAGCTTCGCCCACCGCAGAGGCTGCATACGGTCTTGCCGTGACTTAGTTGCCATGATTGAACATTGCTGGCTTGCCAATTAAACATCAGGCTAAGGTGAGGTGTTGTTCCTTGCACTTGATTGCTAGAAGAGTGTAACAACTGGAATGCGCACGGCTGGAGATGCATCGAACGAAATGTCGACACACGTTGGGTGCAAGTCCTTGACAATGCTCGTCTGGTTGAGGTGACTCGAGACTTTGTTTAAACTTCGGTTCGAATGGAGAAGGTTCCGAAGGGGATGGCAGCCTCATTCATGAACTAGGAGCCTTGGCTTGGCAGAAGCCCGTACCTGCATCCTGCACAGCTTGCCGTAGAGACCTTGACTGCAGCCGAAAAGCACGGACAAACGGAGCGTCTGCTGAGATGCGTGCCGCCCTCGCCGAGCGCGCGCGCCGGGCCGCCTCGGGTGCTGCCTCGGCGCTGCGAGCCAAGGGGCATCCCGCCTCGGAGTGCCTCGGAGCTGAGCGGGTGCCGGCGGGTACCGGGGCGTAGGCTGTGCTCTGTGCGCGTGTTGCGTGTTGCGGCGAGGTTGGAGAAAGTGCTGCGACGTGTGACGCACGCGGACTGCGCGGCCATTCCAGCAGAGGCGTGCCTCCTGGCTACGCCCGAGCGAAGAGAGCTGCGAGCCGAGAGATGTCTAAGTCCTATAGACAGAGACTTAGACTTGGGCTGTGCTTGGGCTGTTTCTGGTGTCCTCGAAGGACCTAGAGGCGGCCGTGCGATGGGCGAAGAGGAGCGAGGAGGCCCTGGCGAAGTCCTTGAAGCACATCCAGGAGATTTTGAAAGTGGGGATGGATGTGTGCGACAGGTCCAAAAGTGCGAGAAAAGGCATGAGATCTTGGAACCGGAGTGAAGAGTCAGTCCAGAGTTTGTGTTCAGAGGGCTCAATGACCGGACAGGCAGCAATTCGTGCACAAGCACGCAAGGCATTCCCTCCCGCCATGTTTCAAAACCAGGTTTCACCATGTGGCCCTTGCGATCAACATCCAACACGGTGGGCGAGTCGGTACGGTTTGTCCGCACACACGCTCGGGCTTCCCTTCCCTGACTGGTCCACAACCCACGGCCCGGGGTGTGAAGCATAAAGTCACCAGCAAGAGTTTCGTCCGTCATTGCACGCCTGTTACTGTTGTCTTTGTAGAGGATGGAGAGTGAGAATTGTGTTTCGAGTTTGAGCACACCGTCGCAGCATCCTTCGCAAAAGTTGCAGGAGAATATCGCCGCTGACCCCTCGGATTGGAGGCGCGATCAGCATCCTCCATCTTCACCATCATCGTAATCGTGTCTTCAATCAGATCTATCAGCAATAGCGGCGATCACCAGTCAGTAGCGGCAGCACCTCCAGCACGCTGCAGATAGCGATTGAATCAAAGAAAGGACTTGCTGAAGCTGTGGCAGCGGGCAGGCGGATCCATGGAGCTCTGGCCTTGTTCGAGGCTTTGGCGGCCGAGGGCGGCGCTTTAGTGGGGAGGCGTGGCCGGTCAGAAGATACGAGTGGACTTATGAGTTGGAAGACCCGAGGTCGTGGTTCGAGGTGAAGATGCAAGGCCGTTTGAAGGACCTGCAGACCTTTCGCTTCTTGGTGCAAACAGAAGTCTGGAGCGGATTCGTGAAGCACTGCGCCGAGAGAGCGGCCACTTGACACGAGAGGCTACGATGCAGACCCGCGTGTGGCAGGGCTGGTGCAGCGCGCAGCCGCTTCTGCCAACAGTGCAGCAGAGAAGCTGAACTGGGAGGTGCAGTGGGGATTCTTCAGGGAGGGGGGGTTGCGACAGTCGATTCTGCCACATGCCACTGGCTTGCTTTCCAGTTTTGTTTTGGGCAAAGGTCTCCATCTTTTGGAACATGTGAACATGAGGTGTTTTTGACCGACTGCGGGCTTCAAAGTCGAAAGGATTAAACTGAGTGGATGCCGACTTGGACATCTGCCAGAATTGCTCCTATAACTGGCTGGAAGGATGATGGTGTCTTCGCAGATGAGGCACGCTTGGCGATTCTGCTGCCATGCATCTCTTGTAGGATCCTATTTCCGTCAAGATTGAGCCGTGAGAAGGCGCCCGAAACTTCTTCGGCCAAAGTGCCGGAGATCCCACCGGAGTGGACAGGAGGCAGGGACGGCAGATGACGGCAGGGAGGATTTGACCGGAGACCTGAAGCTGCTCTGAACTCTGTCAGGTGCAGAGGATGCGGTGCTGCCCGCTGTGATCGGCCGCGCAGTCGTCAAGGCCGAGGCCCGAATGCGGCTCGAACTCACCAACAGGTGAAAGGGTGACTACGGGGAAGCACTTTCAATCCGAAAACACCTTTCAAGCAAAGCTTGGAGTTTTAGCAGACTTTCTGCTTGCATTCCTTGCCTGAGCAAGGGGAGCCTTGAATGGAGCGCAGTGGTCAACTGCAGGTGCACACTCTAGCCGGCACAACCGATCCAAATTTCAGGCATGCCTGCTGACGAACCTGGGGATGCGTACATTCCAGTTACAAGTCAGAATGTTGACGTTGCTATGAATGGTGGTGCATCCTACTTCGGTGCAGCAGGAAAGTCTTGGGACGAACTCAATCCAGTTTTGAGAGTCTTGCTTTGAGAAGACTTGCCGCAGGCTCCGAAGCCAGCAAAAGCCGAAAAAGACGAGGATCCGCGGGGGTTGCTGCAGATCGAATGCATCACGCTTGACGCATGGCCTGGCACTCACAAGTCGTATCGGCATTTGCACTCGTCTGGCTCTCGCCATTTGCAGGACCCGAAGTCTTTCGCAGTCCAATCGTGCTGCTGCTGTTGCCGACGTCGTCGTGCAGAGGTGCCTGCAAAGGCCGCCGAGTGCCACAACATAGATGTTTTGAGCAACAAACCAAACCATACATACAGCATTCCGGTCGTGCCGGCAAGGCCAGCACCCTCACGCCTTCGAGCCAGGTGTCTGAACAGGATCACCTGTTGCCTTGAGCTGCAGCCGAAGCAAAAAGGAGCGGTTGCAATCCACGTTCTAGTGTTTCGTGGGTTTGATTGTTGAGATCCCCAGCGAGTACAAGCATCGCGATTACCTGACGGGCGCACAGGGCAAGGCCTCATCCTCGCGAGATGCCGCCCCCTCAAGCCTTGGATGATACTGGCAAGGTGGTGTCATGTTTTGAGGTTTTGGACAACCGGTCACAAACGTACTTGACAGTGAATTCTTGGTTCAATCTGGGATTGTCGTTGACAGTTTTTTGTGACGGCTCGAAAAGGAGCATAGCTAAAATCCGCACTGCTCACATCAGATTGCAGCCATACACAACATCCTTCTACTTCGGTTTTCGGTCTGGCAGCATCCCCACTGCGCCAGAGTTCTGTGCGGCTCACTTCATAAGAAACTCGGAGGCTTTGGTTCGGCAAAAGGTTAGCTGCGTAATCAAGCTCGCATCACCTGGCCGAGGGAATCCAACGAATTTCTGCGTGTTTTTGTCCTCTTCTTAAGCCCTCCGGGTGTTGCCGGTGAGCATCCGCGACACCGCTCGTTGACCGGAAGGCGGGAGCTTGCCGGAGATGCGGCCGTGCCGGTCTTCAGGCTGAGGCCGTTAGAACCTCCTTGAGTGTGTGCCGAACCCCCCCCCCCACAGGCATGTACCTTGAAATGCCCATCGAGTTCTGCATGCTTGTACGCACCTGTTTCAAGTCAAATGAAAGTACATGACATGGTGCATCATGCAAAAGCAAATCAGGCACTTGGCAACTTGTTTGGACGTGGTGCTCCGCCTAAAGAGTTTCGAGAACCTAGTTCTGGAATGTTCAGACTCCAGCCGCTCTACGCAGGGCCATGCTCACAAGTTTACCCAGCAGCGCAGATAACCCCCCCTCAGAAGTCGTATCGCAGCCAGCAGCACGTCGTAAGCACTGCCGCCTCAAATGCCACGCGATGATCTCGAGACCAAGGATTGGGAGGTTGTGTGGTTTGCAGCTTTGGGTTTCACTGGCTTATGTTTACTTCGTGAACTGTGCGTGGCAGGACTTCCTGCTGTCGAAGGCTGCCCGCCTTGACCGCGCGCTGCGCTCACTACCCAAAGCCGACCTGAAATCTTTGCAGGCCTGTCAAGTTCGTAAAGATGGCTCAGCGCCTAAGATGCGTTCACGTCGACTTGATGGGCTGCTTTGACCAGGCTGCTTCCCACAAGAAAGCACGCAAGCTGCTGCGCAGCTTATCTTACCCTGCCAGACCGCAGGCGGGAACCTCAAAGAGTCAGGGAGAAGATCTAGGGCCCGAGGGTCCTGGAGTCCTGTGCGTTTCCTGAAGGCCAATGGCGATACTGCTGAGACCATCCAGAACCGGATCGATGTGCTTGGCACAAAAAGCACTGCGGCGTCCACTGCCAAACAGATCCCACCGCTCACTGAAGCACTTCACATGGGGGCAGATATGGTGCCTTGTCTTGAGAGGACCAGTGTGTGATGGTGATAGTTACTGATAGTTCATGTCGAGCATGCGGGTTACATGCCTGTCCAAGTCGATCTCACAGGTTAGTGTCCAAGCCTTCGCCATCGAAGCCCGACAGCCACTGGCAGAAGACCTGTGCACCGAGGCAGTCTCTGGGGCTGACGTAGGGCTTGGAGGGGCTTCACATTCAACTCGCGTACGACAAGTGCTGGGTATGTCCACGCAGGTTGGCTTTGTCTGTGGTCTATACCTCGTGCGACTATGACTATCGCTTAAGATATCATTTTTTCTGGCCAGAGGCCCTTCGGCGCACCGGCGCCAACTTGGATTGGGCTCCTTGGCCTGCTACCACGCTTGCTGAAGCTGTGGTGGGGGCACCGACCTTCGTAGATCTTCGAAGGGGATTCGCAGAACCGGCCGGGCGCTGTAAGGTACGACTCGAGCCGCTGAGCCATCACTGTGAAGGCCGCTGGCCTTCCCTGGAGACCTTCACGAGGCGACTTGGCCGCTGGTAGGCAGGTGCTGCGGTTAGAGCCGTTATGCTGCGTTCACTCCCTCCCAGTTCCGACAGTTTTTGGGTACATACTGCTCGAACTGACCACCCTGAGACGGTGAGAAAAGCCGCATCGGTGCGTCTAGCAATGTGCCTCGACAGGTTCTATGACATCCCTCCGCATCTCCGGCCAAAGCCGCGCACGCCGCCCCCTCCTTCAGAACCCAGTCCTGTGCTTTGGCCGACTCCGACGTTTGGAGCTTCGCCTGCAAAGCCGAGACGATTCGAGCCGAAGCTGAGGAGCCGCCGCGCCCGACCATCGGCTGCATCGAGGAGGCGAAGGCCTTCGGACGCCGGGAGCCCCAAGGCGGTTTGAGTGAGTGAAGCTCTCCGCAGCGAACTGCCAGCCTCCGAGGCTCTTCGGATCTTCTCGCGGCTCTGGTCCGAAGCCTTGACCTTACGGCCTCATTTCTCACTCACCTCAGTCGCCTCACTCACCTCTTTCTCTCTCTCTCTCTCTCTCTGCCTCTGTCCTCAGACCGGCTGCCCGAGGCCTCGCCGGAGATCCTGGCTTAGAGCTGGGCTCAGAACCGGCCCACTGGGCAGAACAGCGATGCAGCGACAGTCACCGAGGGAGACACGGGGCTCCCAGCTCCGAGCCCTGACCAAACGGCAGAACCTGTTCCAGGCCGCGCGGATGAGTCGTTGAGCCCAAAGCCCTACGGTATCGGCCCTAGAAGGTGCATGTCAGGTTTGAAGCTGCCCGCCTTCGGAAGGCCTAGAGTCGCTTGGAGACCCTGAGCCCGCCGGTCTTCGGCCAGGTGGGGTGGAAGGAAGGGGATCAGCTGACTAACGGGACTTTTGGGCGTTTGGCCCCATGAGGCAGTGGAAGTCCCGCTGCCGAACTTGGACGAGATGCTGGGCTGTCCAGTCTTTTGTCTTGCCGTGACATTGACAACCGAGCAAGAGAAGCCCAGGACGAAGCATTGCCACACCCGGAAAGAGGCGGTGAGGCTCTCGAAGATGGACAGCCCGCTCAGAAAGCAAGAGAGGAAAACACTTTGCTGCTTGGCACAGTCTCCTGACCTCAAGGAGAGCTTCGTGAAGGCCAAGGTGATGCAACTCGTCGGGAGCTGAGCTCACACACCGAGTCTGATCCATACTACTGAGAGCGGGTCATTGAGGGATTCGCATCGCATGGCTCACTCGTTCGACTCTTCGCAGGTTCGGATCTGCGAGACCTGCGGGGTGCAACAACGGGACCTTCGTCGCCGTCCTTGCGGTCTAAGCGCGGCCCTGGAGGCTTGCCCGGAAGGGCCCACATAGGTTCCTGGCTCGACCATCCTTGTCTGCTTGAATTTTCTGCTCCTACGTCTCCACCCATCCACCCGTCCACCCGTGCATCTCCATCGATCTATTTGGCTATCCTATCGACTATCTATCCGTCTATCTGGTGGCAATCTAGCTGCCTGTCACTTGGTTTTCCACTCCTTTATGCAGTCATGTACTCCGGTTCGCTCTTGCTCCATTGTTTGACATAGACGTTCAGCATGGTTCGAAAGCGAAGCCGGTTTCTCAATCTAGCCTTCAGTGGATGCCAGGTGTGCGAGCAGGTCCTGGCATCAAGACTGGGCGGCTTCGGGGCGTGCCAGCGACGAAACCGCCCAGGGCCAGCCCTGTCCGTTGAGACCTCGCAACCGAGGGTGTCTGGTCTAGCAGGGCTTTCGACGGTAGATGTAGAATCAGCTCCTGGCTGCCATTCAGTCTGAATGGGCAGCGCGTACAGTTTCATGCAGATGCAAGATCTTCGTGGAAAGGCATCCTGCCCGCGAGGAACTTGCAGTCGTTCTAGCTGTGGTTCTGCATACCACCCTCCGCTCTGGTGGAGCCATCACGCCTAAGGCGTGTCCAGCCCGCTGCAAGACAAAAGATCGCCCTGACTTCGACTGTTACTTTGATCGAGCACACAGTCTCGCAAGCCCAACTTCGGCGGCATGAAGAGTCCTCTGATCTGGCAGGGCGTGAATGGCGACGAAAGGATGTCTACCGCTCCTGCTGCGGCGCTCCTTGAGAAAGCAAAGTGCCTGGGAGGTCTTGATGCTCCCAGAGGCCCTGGAAACCCCTCTTGGAAGTTGCCTATCCAATGCATAAACCATAAACCTTCGATTGGCTTCGAGGCTAGCATAAGTCAAGTGGCAAAGCAAGCTCAACATCGTGTTGTAGTTGGATGCATTCTCCGTATCAGCACACTAAGTGCATGCTGCACAGGTAGATGCATGTTGCGTGTCATGGCGGCATTTCCGCACAGAATCGGATTCTAGTACCAAGCCTTTGTTGAGGATGGCTGCTTACACTTTTCTGATTCGTTTGGTTCCCGTGCAATCGGCTCGAGACTCAGCAAAGAGCCAGATGGAATGGATAACTTGAAAAGGATCGTCAAGAAGCTTTTTGAGCTCAGTGTGCCCAGATGCTGCACTAAGTTACTACACTTCCCCATCTCTGCATAGCACGACGGGCTCGATTGTCCCCAGCAATTGAAACGCACGCTCACCCATATCCCCAAGCTTCTAATCGTAGTCAACAGAACGTCGGGAAATGGCACGCAAGCGGCGCTGCGCCGAGGATGCCTCCCCGGAGGATCGGCCATTTCCGAGTAATCATCACAGCATCGTCAACGCTGTCACCTTGCTCAAGGTAAATCTTGTATGCCTACAAGCTAGCACAGCTGCTTATCGCCACAGAAACTGTTGTCATAGGTATCACCAGTACTGTTCTTGATTACAAATATGGCTATATCCTGGGTAGGTCGCATGATGTCAGTATGATGCACATGGCATATGAGCTCATGTATGTCGTAGCTTTCAGTGGGGCACCCGAGTGGACAGGCCGGAAGGCGAGGCCGACGGCATGTTGGACTTGGAGCAGTCATACTGGAAAACTTGGGCTACTCCGGAAACGACGATGAAGGCTGGCGGCTGGGAGTGTCGAATAGTCTTGCATGCAGAACACTGGAACTCTAGGAGCAGTGGCGATCCTGGCCACGGTATAACAACAGTGTAGACGTAGGACAAAGAAGGCGCAGCCAACGCACCATTCCGAGTGCACCCTTCGTTCTTTTGTTCTTCATGGTCGTCAGTCATGCTGGTGATGGAGGTGGTGTTGGTGGTGGTGGGAGCAGTAACAGTAGCAGTAGTCGTGGCAGTGGTAGTCATCGTAGCAGTAGGAGTAGTTGTCGTCGTCGTAGCAGCCAGCAGCAGGGGTCGTAGTAGTAGTAGTAGTAGTAGTAGTAGTAGTACGCGCTTTGCGTGTATTTGACGCTATGTTTTTTGGTGCATGCATGTCCGAAACACACGGCAGGGACGTCATTTCCGCATGCGCATGTCGTTGTGAGCCGAGCGCCCTGGATCGTGGGTTTTATCGGCTCAAGTGAAAGTCATGCCATGATGATGTCAAACATGCTCGCGATTAGCCCCCCCCCCACCCCCCCCCCCCAGGTCAATGATGATGTTGATGAGTAAGATGATGTTGATGAGTATGATGATGATGATGACTGTATTTTAGGTCGTTCTGGCGCTCGGGTCTGCATGGTCCTTCTTTAAAGAGATAAAAACGAATAACCACGGAAATGCTGTAAATACCAGTATATCTAGGCCCTGAGTATGATGATGTTGATGAGTATGATGATATTGTTTATCACCGTGATGATGATGTTGATGGCGACAATGAATTTGACGGTTTTGAATGTTACTGTTATGATGATGATGTCAAACATGCTCGCGATTAGCCCCCCCCCACCCCCCCCCCAGGTCAATGATGATGTTGATGAGTAAGATGATGTTGATGAGTATGATGATGATGATGACTGTATTTTAGGTCGTTCTGGCGCTCGGGTCTGCATGGTCCTTCTTTAAAGAGATAAAAACGAATAACCACGGAAATGCTGTAAATACCAGTATATCTAGGCCCTGAGTATGATGATGTTGATGAGTATGATGATGATGATGACTGTATTTTAGGTCGTTCTGGCGCTCGGGTCTGCATGGTCCTTCTTTAAAGAGATAAAAACGAATAACCACGGAAATGCTGTAAATACCAGTATATCTAGGCCCTGAAACCAAGTCGCAGATGTCCCAAAAGCAGGAAAAGCATGGCGTCAAATACACGCAAAACGGGTAGTAGTAGTAGTAGTAGTAGCAGCAGCAGCAGCAGCAGCAGCAGTAGCAGTAGCAGTCGCAGTAGCAGTAGCAGCCGCAGTAGTAGTAGAGTGCAAAAAACGACAATCTGCATCTGTTTTGTTGCTAGAAAGGCCAGGAAGCCAAGGCCGCAAAGCTCGATGCCTTTGCAGCTCCAGAACCTTGCTCGCATTCATGCCTTGTTGTCCTTGGGGGGCTTTCGCAGTCACCTTTTTGCAGAACCCTGTTTGCAACACTCGAGGAGGGCGCGGAGCGCGCAAGCCCAGATGAGGCTCCGCTGCACCTTTGTGGATGTTTGTGTCCAAACATGTCGGGGAATTTCGGGACATTTGTCATGTTGCTAGGCAGCTAGGTACCCCCTCTTCCTCAGGGAGTTGGGAGCATGTTCGGGGTTTCGTCTTTGTCTCGTACCTTGTGCCTGCCGTTCACACGCACGTGGTCATTGCCGACTGGACTAGGTTCTTCGACTCTGCATAGACTTTTACAGACTTGGAGCCTCCCTTCATGCTGCTGAAGATTTTCGAGCTGCTTTCGCTGTCAGTGTCCTGCCAAGGGACTGCCACTGTGTTGCCCGAGTTTTGTGAGTTCGTATGTCCTACCTACCTTCCTATAAACACACCGATTCTCACGTCGGGGTGCAACCAGTTATTCACAGGGAATTGGCAACGCAGCAGCTTTCTTTCCTTCTTGCAAGCCAGGCGCCCAGGAAGCGCCGGCCGCGCAAGGCCAGCAAACTCAACTCATTCTACATGCAGGGGCGACGTAAGCGCATGAAACTTGAGGAGCGTCTGCACATGGAGATGTATTCGGGGTTGTAGCAGGAAAATCTAAACTCTAAACCGCGACTTCGGTTCGCAGTGAGCCGGCTGGGGGTGAGATGCAGGTTAAGGACGTAAGAGCCCCTGCGCCATGTGCCCTCGTTTGCAGGAGAAGCGTCTCCCAGAGGGCGCAGACGCTGCAAGCGGAGATGAGGCCTTTACTCGCCGAAGACTCCATATGGCACCCTCCGCTCCGAAGCGCCGCTCAGCTGAGAGGCGCCCAGGAAGCGCCGGCCTCGAAAGCCCCGGGAGGCGCTGCAGAGCGCGAGTCCATGCATTTTGGAATCCTCTGGGCTCGCTAACTGCTGGCCGACAGGCTCCGGATGCTGAGGAAGAGCAGTCGCAGGCTGCACCTGCGCTGCACATGTCGCTGCATGTCTCTCGCCTTTTGGAGTTTGGATGTGCCGTAGCAGGGCGATCGCGGCGCCGCGCCGAAGGGGCAGAGACGAGCCCAGAGGACCGTCGGAGAGAAGGGCTCGGCCTCTCGAGCAGAAAGCACGTGTCGGGTTTTTGGATTCAGGCCCAAAGAGAAAGAGAAAGCGGCGGAGTTTGGCGAGGAGGAGGCGCCACCTGAGGGGCCGGTTGTTGTTTTGGAGCTCTTGCCCAAAAAGTCGCAGCACGCAGGAACCTGACGAGGCGTCTGTAGTCGTGCCTGTGCTGCACTGGGAAAGTGCTGAGTGCTTCCCTCCCTGCTCTGCCTGTCTTAGCCGAGGCGTGGAAGCGCCTCCTCGCGGCGCGAGCCGAGGGCGAAGACTGGCGCTTGGCTTTCTCCCTGCGGCCCATGCTTCCGCAGGAATCAGGGAGAAAGAGCGAGAGATCGGCTCATGTGAAAGATCTGCTCCGCCCATGAGCTCGCTCTCACCATGCACCGCCCCAGAGCTTTGGAGGTGGTGGTCGCTGAAATTTTTCCCACCCACCCAATCTCTCAACGATGTCAGCGGGGTGGCGGCGGGTCCTGTGAGGGAGGTGCTGCCGATGTAGCGAGACTGGAAGCATGGAGTGTGGGCCGTGGGCTGAACTTCTCGTCGTCCTATCCTTGTCGTTGTTCTCTCGAGAGTCGGAGTCCACTTCAGTCCGTGTCGTTGTGGCTGTTGCCGGTGTGCTTCTCGGCTTGCTGGCCTGGCTCAGAAGCGCATCGGGCAACTGCCCGCCGGATGATGCATTGTCACCTGCCCATCTGCCATGTTCTGTTGCAGTTACCGGCACGTCGGGCACAGGAGCTACGCCAGCTGGGCCCAGAAAGCTTCCTTGGCAAGAAGATTCCGGGCTGCAAGCAGCAGATCTTCGCATTCCTACAAACGGCACCGACGATTCACAAGCTCAGGAAAGAGCTGGGTGCGCAGCCTTTGTTCAACCGCGAGGGCAAGGTGAACCTCCAGCACGTCGCCCAGATGGTACTTGTAGTGCAGTGGCTTGAACTGATGTGTGACTGCTCTTTGGTCGGACAAACAGGCATGTAGCAGGGCCTCCGCTGCAGGTTTCTCCTTGCCAGCTACAAGGCGTCAGAAAAGCGCCGTTCGGAAGACAAGGCTGGCTGCACCATGCACTCTGCTTAACTCTACGAATTCACGGCATCGAAGGAGTCCGACGTGTGCGCCCAGTGACTTCCGTGCTGCAGGATGCATCGAACCCTCACCATCCGTTCCTGCTCTGGTTGGTGAAGCAGGCCCGGCGCCTTTCACAAGAATTTGCTGAGGACTTTCGCCTCCGTGCCGATTATTTGGGAGTGGATTCTGCGCTGCGACTAGTGGAAAGAACGGAAAGCACCTTGCCTCCACAAAACGGAACTGGCAGGAGTAGCTTTCAAGACCTGCCTTCGATCTTCGCAAGTTGCTAGGCGCGCCAGCTGCGGCTGCTGAGCAGCAGGGAGGTGAAGCGGGGGCAGATCCCCAAACACCGTCTGGAGCAGGACGGCCTTCTCTGTGAGATGTGAGATACACACGCCGTAGCCTTTCTTCTGATGAATGTCATCGTCATGAGTACAGTTCCAGGGATGACGGAAGGGAGCGAGTGCTTGCCAGTAAGGCGAAGACGAGAGCAGTCCTTGGGTCGTTGTTGACAATGTCTGTTCAATGCAGTCTGCAAGCATGACATCATGTGTACATGTTGGTAAAGACGAGAGGATGTCAAGTAAGTCAAAGAAGCACGCGGGGCCAAGGAAGCTGTGTGCATGTGTTGGATGCGGTCGGGTTCGCGGCAGGCGAAAACCAATGGCTACAGCCTCGCAGATGGAGCCAATTTGGCGCAGGCCCGGGATTGGTGGCATGCTGTGTCGCAACTAGAACACTGAGAGCCTGCCAGGCGTCCGACGATGAAGAGCGAAATCGTCAGAAGGAAGCCGAGCAGGAAAGGCTGGAGAAGCAGGCCAAAAGCCAAGATCAAGCTTTGTAGAAGACGTTTCGAATGAAGGCTCTTGCAAGTCAAAACATGCAGCCCAGCTCAGGATTAAACTGCCGGCGCAGACGCAAATGTGCTGATATATATCGAACAACCCCCCCCCCACCCCCTACACCCTCCTCCGCCTCACCCCTTGCTGCTGAGTTGTCGATGTGGTTGGATGTGCCGGAGGTGATGATGATGCTGTCTCTGTTTGCTGATGAAGCCTGCCTAGCCAGCTTTGGTTCCCCTCCGTTGCTGATTGCCTGCCTCGTCAGCTCTGTTTGCCTTCCGTTGCTGCGGTGGTTGGATGTGATGATGATGCGTGGAGCGCACCTAGCCAGCTGTGTATCGCTTCCCTTCCCCTGGTCCCGTCCCTCAAGTTCCGCGAGAGATGCCTTGCGAACCAGAGGCGAGCGCAGACATTCTGCACCGTGAAGTACCATTCCCAGAGCGAGAGCAAGTCGGCAGTGGGATCCTCAGTATGCAGGGCTTGAAGCTCGGAGCTGCCGATTGTCGTAATGACAGCAGTGTGCTCTTCTCATGGCAGAGTTCCTCGGTTTGCCCAGGTCAGTCGCTGGCTGAGTCATCCGAGCGCTTGCGGCAGCAGCTGCGAAACCAAGCGGAGCTGAGGAAGGCGAGCGGCTTGGCATGTGCGGTGCTTCGAGTTTCAGTGCATGATTTCGTCAAAGCCTACAAAGAGGACAACAGGGACTCCCGACGCATGGACATGCCGCATCGCCAGGAAAAGATAAAAGCCCACTCCAGCAACGGCCAGGATCTCCAGTCAATGTTGCTTGGCCACATCATCTAGCTGCTTGCTAGACCGCTAGACTTGTTTGGAGACGGCCGAGAAGTTGCAGCTGACATTCTGGTTGTCGAAGTGTTGTGGGGTCCGGCGACGAGAGAGGCAGCACTGACTCGTCTGACGTAAGGTCTTCAGTTCTCAGCGCACCATCCCTTTCGTTCGACTGGGTTGAGCCGGAGTCCGACGAGGCCCGTTTGTCCTTGAGCAAATCTTCGGCGTACAGCCACGATGAAGCAAGTACGACAGGAAAACAACCCCAACGGCACGTTGCAGGCCAGTCGCGGAATCGCAGTAGTGGATTGTGCAGTGCTAGCGCGATGTGCAGTGGTTTCCGTATTGCTGACATTGACTGTGAGACTATGCCCCCAGCCAAAGCATCAAGGCTCAGCCTGGAGTGATGATCTCGACCTAGCCTGCAGACACCCTGTGGTCAGCGCCCACACGACCTCTGAAGGTTGACCTGCCTCCCAGCGCAAAGAGCTCCGAGTCGCGGCGCGAGTTGCTGCGGGAGACCATCCAGCGCTCCTCAGCCCGCATGTGTCGTGGGGCCCCCACTCCCTCGACAGCCGAAATCGCTTGGCAGGTTCTGTGTCCTTCAAGCAGGCCGAAGTCCTCAATTCCAAGGCCGGCATTTCTGGTTGATGGGGCGCCGGAATTGTGTTGTCCACAAAGACAGGCAAATCGTGCATTGTCCGCATCGCTGTCGGCATCCAGCGCGAAGTCCTCCCGGCTGGCGGAGGTGAGGGCAGTACTGAGAAGCTTTTGTCAGCAAACGGAGTGGGTCCAAGGCGGACAAGCTGGCGGACAAGCTGGCAGAAAAGCTCAAAGCGAAGTCCAAGGAAGGTGCCAGCGCCGGCTAGGACTCTCGCCTTGCTGGACACCTGGACCTGCTTGTTTTCCGCTTTAATAGCAGAGGCGGTAAGATCCCCTAAGCCTAACACATTAACAATCCCTGACAGACTAAGCCGTCCAGACTTTTGAGCTTGCTTGGAGCTGCAGCTCAAGACTGTCTTGAAGGTCCGTCTCAAGAGCTGGCCGTGTCTGCTTTCGTGTTCCGTTTGTAGCGAATTGGATTTCTAGGCAACGTTTAAATTCTTATGACTCTGTTCCTATGCTCGTCAAGTTGGTCGTTTGCATGGGTGGCACTGTCTCTTCTCTTTGGACTATCTTATCGAGTCTTCCACGGGATGCACAAGTCAGTCCCAATGAATCCCCTCTCCCCGAGTGCCCGAGTCTGCCGAAACAAAGCGGCTTTGCACAAGTTCGTCATTTTGCCTAGTGACAGAGACGAAAAGTTGGCTAGGTGGAATCTTGCATAAGAAACGCTCTCCAGGGCGTGACTGTACCGCCGCCATGCATTGTGGCCGCATTGACAAGCCAGATGGATATCGTGTCAGACACCTCTTGACAGTCTTCATGACAAACCGAATTGTCGCTCCAAACTGAAGAAGGCGATGCTCCGGTGCATCCACAGGGTGAAGGACTGCGGGCTGTGGTTCCATCGCGTGAGTTTTATTGCGGATCTTGTGGAAGAGCAGTTGCGGAGGCGACCCGGCAGGTTTGAACTTTTGAGGCCCCGCGAACCTGAAGCAGGATCAGCTACAGCGGCGGCCGCGGTGACGCCGCCACAAGGAGGGCACCGAGAGTGTGCGTTCAGCATGCAGCGCTAGACCAGTCCTGCGAATACACTAAAGAACATCTTGTTTGTAAATGCATGAACGTTGCATGTACAGTGAGGAGATTGTGACGCGTTTTTCTTAATTGGCTAGCCGAGGGTTGATGGTGGCACAAAGCCACCCTGAAGCGCTTCTCCGACGGCTTTCGATCATGGTGTGGGTGGGTGTGTGTGTGTGTGTGTGTGTGTTTGCTCACCGGCATGTACGTACATCAAATGCAGACGCCTTCACCCACGCTCTTAGAACTCTAGAACTCCAACAGTGCCTTCGACCAGGAGCAGGCAACTCAGCAGAAGCATCAGGACAGCCTAGCCTGTTTATGCTTTTTTGGTTTTGCATGTCTGTGAGATTTGCGGATGCCGGCAGTTGCAAGGGGCTTTGACTCCGCCGAAGTTGATTTGACGAGCAGTGCTGCGTCAGTTCTTTGGATTCTGGTTTGTAGCCCATCTTCGGATACCTGATACATGGGCCATGCTCGTGAGCTATCGCGATGCGCAGCTTGGTTGAGTGTTGAGTGCAGATGAGTTCCAGACGCCTTCGGTTAGGCCCAGCTGCGGAGACCTCCACCACGGCAGACTCTATCCCAGCCGAAGCATCAGGAAACCTGGCTTGGTTTATTGCCTCCCGTTATAGGAAATCGGAAATGTTAATTCAGCTGGGGATACGTCGTGTTTGTGCTACAAATGTGCGAATGATGTGATGTGCAGCTCGGCAGCGCAGAGCAACTTCAGACGCATTCGGCTAGGTCCAGCTGTGGAAACCTCCGTCACAGAGCGCTGTATCCCCGCAGTAGCATCAGGACACCTGGCCTGTTTTTCGCTTCCTATGCTGGTTAGATCCCAGGGCATGCTCAGTTGCAGGGTGTTGAGTGCGTTGACATAGATTTGACATGCAGTGCTGCATCAACTCTTTGCGTCCAGGTTGTTAGCTCATCTCTAGATACGTAGTTAGATACGTGGTATATGGGCGATGAAGTTGAGTTCTAACGATGTACGGCTTGATTTCCGTGCAGATATGTGCTAATGAGTTCCAGACGTCTTCGGTTAGGCCCAGCTGCGGAGACCTCCGCCACGGTGGGCTCTCTCCCGGCAGAAGCATCAGGATACCTGGCTTGGTTCAATTGCCTCCCATGCCGGTGAGAATACAAGGGATGCACATGATTTATCACGCTGTGCAGCTGTCGGCTAGGCCTACCTGGGGAGACCTGAGCCAAAGAGCGTTCTATCCCAACAGAAGCATCAGAACACCCGGCTTGGTTCATTGCCTCCGAAACCGATGTGATTCGTAGGGGATGTCGCCAGACGCAGGTGTTGAGCTTTGACATACACTTGACATGTAGGGCTGCATGAGCTCTGCGATTTCAACTTGCTAGCTCATCTCCGGAGACGTTGTACCCGATATGTGCAGCAAGTAAGGACTAATCATAATGTGCTGCTTGGCATGAGTGCGCAGAAGAACTCCAGACGTCCCGTTAGGCCCGGCTGTGGAGACCACCTCTGCAGAGGACTCTATCCCAGCGCAAGGATCGGGATACCTGGCCTGCACATTGCCTTCTACTGCATGAACTTTGTCAATTCAGATTGTTATAGCTCGTTTTCGGATATGTCGTTGCTGGGCTACACCAGCGAGCTTCACGATGGGATTGAGTGCAGAAGAATTCCGGCTGTATTCCGCTAGGCCCGGCTGGGGAGATCTCCGCCGCAGAGGCCTCTGTCCTGGAAGGAGCAGCAGGATATCGGGCCTGTTTGACGTGCGTGCTGGGCTGGTCTTCCGATATCTTGTTGCATGCGAAGTATTGCATGCAGCCCGACTTGATTTTGCCGAGCAAGATTGAGGCACCAGCGACGAAGGTCCTGCGAGGTTAGAGAAGCGCTTGGTTGCCAGGCTTCAATTTTGGCCACATGTGCCCAAACTTGACACGAAGTGATTCCGCTGAGCATTGTATTCCGTTCACAGAAGCTTGCCTCCGCAGACCGGTCTATGGTCATTTCTGCATCAGGTTCGGGAGATTCGTAAAGTTTCATGGACAACCTCAATTTCCATATTTCGTGGTGGCCAGGTGACCTGGAGATCAGCGCGACTTTGCCCTTTGAAGTCGATCTGGAGCCAGGCCGTGCTGTACATGGGTTGCTTGTACAGACAGCTCGCGAACAGACTCGCCAGTAGAGCCCTAAAAGATTTGGCTCGTTCGACACGATGATTCTTGTGTTGTGACACTGCTGTCCAACAGGTGCGCAGGCGGCGCAACATGGCCGCAAGGATGTTTAGTTTCAATGTGCAGCAGGTGTTTGGACGGGTGGCGCACCGTCATAAAGAAAGTCCTTGCCTACCGGTACCGCACTGTGGTAGTGCCAGCCTACAAATAGCTGGTAACTAATGGCCTTCAGTCTTTGCATGCCTCTCAGGCCAACCGATGCAGGCACGATCTTGGGCGTTGGCTAGTGGGGTCTGGACGCAACTGCACAACTGTTGCATCGCAGACATCTCTGCGACCCTCCCCTTCGACGTTTTGCTGGAGGCTCCAGCGAACGACGAGGCTTACTCACTGCCAGCCACTGCTCCCCGCTGCCTCGGAACATCTGCGATACCCGCAAAGGCTGGTGACGAGATGCAGGAACGTGCGGGTCAAGCACAACCACCGGTGACTACAGAGGCACTCTCACTCTCGTCTTGCACATGGCCGAAGGACAGTGTCGAGGATGTGGCTCCATTGCGTTCGCGCGTGGAGGCGAGTGACGCTCTCTTGGAGGCCGAGGACCAGACACACACCTCCAGCGAGGCAAGGGAAGCGCGAGGAAGTTTCCGGATCCCCCCCCAGACTGTGAATGCAGAGGAGGATGCGGAAGACTTGCCGGCCGGCACCCGAAAGGACCCCACTGCTTGTCAAAGAGAGCAACCGGGGCTTCCGAGGCCGCGCAGCGCCGGGAGCGCGCCTGGCTCCGGCACCTGAAGCAGAAACGACGGGAGGAGGAGCCCTGAGCCCTTCGTCGTTTTCGAGCTTTTTGCAAGGTCCCGGGTCTTTGACATCACAGTGCAAGAGAAGAAGCTCTCTAAGATGTCCACTCGCATCGGGGTCACATTGACGTTTGGCTGGTGCTATCAGGACGACTTTCCAGAATCAGGCTCTTCTGAGCTAGGCAATCTGATCCTGTCCTCTCGGTTTTCGTCAGCCTTGGTTGCATTCAGCCCATTCTTCAGGAAGTAAGAGTAAGCCTTCTTGAGTCTCAACGGGGGCCCGGAGGAATGTTGATAACAGTGCCAAGATCATCTCTCAACTCGAGCTCACACGGACATGTGGCTTAGGGTCACCACGAGTCTTTCGGTGTTGTTCCTGGTAATAATCCCTTCTGGTTTCGGTGCAGGACAAAGAGAATCAGAAGGTGCAGAAGTCCAAAGCCAAGGCGAGCCTTTTTCGCGGCACATGACTGCATGCTCTTGTGTTTTCCTTGACAGCTGCTTTCCTGAGTCGGCACAGCGGAAGAGACCGGGTCCGACTTGGGTGAAGGCGGGCCGCGGGAAAATGACATCGCCGGAGGACGAGGAGGACGAACTCTTCCTTGGCAATCGAGGGTATTTTGGCAAGCAAGATGGACCTGAAGCTTGCGAGTTGTGAATCCTGGACAAGGCGGTGAGGTTGAAGTAGCTTCACCTTTGTGCTCAGTTTGTTTCCTCAGTGCAGTTCCAAAGGAGGCAACGGAGCATGTGCCTGCGTCGTGCCAAGGAACAGGCAGCGTGGTGACAGAAACAGGCCGGGCACTCCAAATGAGCTGTCGCTTTGGGCCCGTCGACGTCGTCCATGGCTTGTCCAGTTAATCAGGACATGTCTGGAGGTCAGGCATGACCTTTGAACGCGGAGAACACGGGTTGAAAAGAACGTCAAGCGGAGTTCAATCCTTGTACCACCCGCGAGGCCAAACCTGCTGTTGGGAGCCCGCGTTCCCAGAAGGCAAGCCTGACCGAGCTGTGGGAGCCTCAGATCTGGTCTCCAGGTGTGCAAATGCCCCGGACTCGTGGATGAAAATGGCTGCTTCTCCCCTAACCATGCCGTAACGCTGCGCTGGCACTGGGGCGGGGCGGGGCCACTGCTCTTGCCGGTGCCATGCTTAACGTTGTTCCTTTTCTGTTGATGGTGCACTCGCTTGACCGTTCACGAGGTGGCTTTCAGTCTCAGACAGGTCTGCTTCTACTCTGGCCAGCACGAATCCACCTGAGCCCGCATGGCCTCATGATCAGCACGAAGTACTGTGACCATTATGTTTCTCACAACATGACACTGTGTCAACGCAAGTCCACTACTTGTCCGATGGTGTCCAAGACTTGGAATTTTCAGATCAGGGAGAACGTGGTTTGCAAAGCTTGTCAGACTAATGCCATGGTGCGCGTCAGCCAAGTGGCCACCCATGTGTCCGCGGTGCCCTGGCCTGTTTCAAGCGCTGCTACTTTCTTGACGTTTTTGACCTTTGCTCTCTGGCTGAGCTATGTCTGCAGTTTAAGGAATACAGGACCTCTGAAGATCTCAGGGAGTGGATTGCGCACGAGCTCAGGTAACGGGGGTGCAGGCGCGTGGTGCCACTGTGGATCGAAAGCAGATCTGCCGCAAGGCTGATGCTGTGGGCCGGTCTGGAGACTTGAATACCAGAGTTCTGCAGTTTCCCACCTCCGTCAAGTCAGCTGGTGAAGGAACTACAGGATGTCAGTATGGGTTCAGATATTCTTCAAGTTTCTCTGAATAGGTGTCCTACCCGATCCTTGCCGGCCTCTTCTCGGGTGCGCACCTTGGCGAGACGGGGTCATCTTCTGAAGGCGCTCTCCGAGTGCTTCAGCACTTTTTAGCTGCACGGGACGTTGAAGCACCATTCTGGGAGCTAAATCTGGTGCTGCCTAGGATCGCGGCCACGCTGAAGGCCATCCAGAACTACGTGGACACTGAGCAATGGATCAAACAGAACGTTGTCCCATGACTGCCCAAGAGGCCTTGAGAAGCATAGTGCCGCTCTGCACATGCACCGCACGGTGCAGCGTATCGTGGCCGCGGAACGCAAACTACTGAACAGACGCAACGTCTGAGGTTTTCGACAACACTGCCTATGCCAGCTTCGGGACCTGCCTTGGTTTTTTGCTGCTCGGGCCGCGCAATCCCAACACTCTGGCACCTGTGCATCTTTGCAAGCCATCGATTGAGCACAGTCAGGATCGTCTTCCGGACGGCGCAGTCGTATGGGCGCTTCTGGGAAGGGATCGACATGGTCTATGAAATCATGGGGCACTGGCTTCTTGGCAAGGCTGAGGCGACTAAGGCAGGGGCTCGCAAGTGGTCTCTGCTCAGGTTCAACGCAGCAAGCAATGCGCTGGCCTTCACCCGGGCAACGAAGGCATCCGCCAAGGAGGTGCATGACTTCCATCGGCTTGTGGTGAGCCTCGACTGCTCCAGCTCACTTTCAGTTTTTCGTGGTCCTAGTAACTTAGTAGTGTTTCCTGCCTCACAGGACTTTGGCCCAACCCGAAGCAAGAGCAATCGAGATCTGAGGCGGCTCTTCAGCCTGCTGAGCCTGGCCTGTCTCTGGCAAACTTCTTTCTGTGTTGCGTTACTCCAACAGGTTCAAGGACGTTTCGGCTTTATCGATGTCATGTCTGCATCCCTTGTCAATGCTTGGCTCTCCCGACCTTCTATCGAAGCGAAAGATGAGCCTTTCCGTACCTGAACCCGCTTCTTCCACTTGTTCCACATGTTCTTTTCAGCCTCTCCGTGATGTTGCTCGGAAAGGAACTGCGTCGTCTTGTCGGAGCTTGAGGGCCTCGAGTCACGTGCCGGCCCCTGGGCAGGGAAAAGATGCTCGCGACCATGGTTCCTAGTTTAGAAAAGAGTTAAGCTGACAATATTCACGCAGAAAGCGGAACCAGAGAGAACTTTTGAGGACATGATCAAAGATGCATGTCTTGTATCCGTTCAATGATGTCGTATACTCCGCCAGCATGATGAAGGAGCTTGGTTGAGTCAAGCCATTATGGCGAGAGAGTCTAGGCAAGCTCGACTTCCACGTGCTGGACATAAATGGGCTCGACAAGCAGACGCGCTTTTCCGTTCTCCATCCCAAGGATGCAGGGAGCGGGAGCGTCGTCCTTGCTGTTCTTCGGCCTCTGGGTTTTCAGAGCTTTGTCGCAGGATCGGAGTCGACCTGAGCAGGTTTACCATGCCATCAGCAAGGCGAGGACCGGTGTGAACAGGAGGTCAAACGAGAGGAGACAGTTTCAAGAATCGTCTTCAGGTGATGATGGAGGCAATCAACTCTGGCGTCATGGGTGCTCCGCCGCCCATGGTCAGTCGTGTGTACCACGAGATGGGCCTTGGAATGCCACTTTGCCGAGTTTTGCCGTAGCATTGCTGCAGAGGGTGTTTTGGGAACAGCAGCCCCGTACACCTGCTGTGAGCAGATCCACATCTCCGGGTTCTGCATGTCAGTTCGAGTTGAGATGTCAGAGCTTTTCGGATCAGGGTCCTGCAGTCTAAGATCTCAACATTACTCAGCTCGGCTTTCTGCTTTGATGCTTCCCAAGTCTGATCGCGTCTCGTGGACTCTGGGGTCAGATGGCGGCTGAACACCAACCCGCCTGTTCAGTTTCCGATGATGTTGTGCTGTACTTGTTTGCTAGCGACATGTCCTGCTGACCAGTTCGGTCAGGAGCAAAATGCATGCAGCCATGCGCTTCGGCACGGTCGACTTCCCGGCACCATACCTGCTTGCCCTGAAGGCGCATTTGGGTTCTTTGTGTGGCGTAGTCACATCCATTGGCTGGGACTAGCAGTCTGAGGCAATGCTTGCTATCTACATGTTTCTGACTCCTGTCGCCGTGATCGACTGGGCACAGACAGTGGCCTTCTCTGGATTCTTCAGCATGCTTTTGGCACGGGCCTCAGCGAGAGATGAAGAGTTTCGATTCGCACTTTCCTCACGTCCGGATTATCAGAACAGTGGCATCTTCATGACTGGAAACGCAGTGGCACAGACGGAACAATGCAACAACACTACCCGGCAACCACTTTCAGGTGCGACGATGGTGACTCCTGCAAAGGTTGCTGCTGCTGCTGCTGCTGCTGCTGCTGCTGCTCTCTTACGTCTACGGGTGCAGCAACAACAACTACTACTACTACTACCACTACTACTGCTCCTGCTCCTACAGCCACAGCTACAGCTACCGCTACTGCTACTGCTGCTGTTGCCGCTGCTGCTACTACTACTGCTGCTGCTACTACTACTACTACCACTACTACCACTGATCTACTACCACGCTACTGTTGGTGCTACTGCCTCTACCACACCGACTACGATTACCACTACCACTACCGACGCAAACTACGGCAGCGACCCAGGACGACGAGCACAGCTTATGTTTCCGCTGCTGCTGTTGCTGCTGGTTCTAGTTGTGGCCAAACACCAGAACTGTCTCCAACAACATCATAATCTTTGTCTTTGTCGTCTGCATCTTCATCAGCACACCCCGTATCACCATCGTCATCGTTATCAGCATCAGTATCATCACCACCGTCCTCGTCCCCGTCGTCATCACTGTCATCACTGTCACCATGTTTACCATCGTCCAGAATCTTCATCATCGTCCTGATTGCCCACGGGGCCTCGAAATCCGACAGGTCTTTTCAATGTGGGGCCTCCTAGCACTGGCTGCCGAGCTGGACAACCCGTATCTGAAAACGGGTGCCTCGGGAAAAGCAGATGGCCATGGGGTGTGCTGCCTACTGTGTTCCTTCTGCATAGATCGCGTGGTCGTCTAGAGCTTTGAGTCTTCTACGACTGCATGACATCGCGAACTGTTCCAGTCACTTCATTCATTACGAAGCATCATGTGATGTCAAGCGCAACACATGGGCTCCGACACATCCTCCCGATTCCGGCTCTGAGGATTCAGTTTCGACAAAGATCTTGTCCAAGGCAAGCTGAACAAGGCACTAATGCTTCTTGCCTCAGACACATGCATGTGAAACAACAAGAAGCACAGTCCATGCAGTCTCTCCATGGTTGCACGGCTCGCTGGCTGTTGTAAGGACAATCTTGGCGGAAGAGAGCCGACCGGTGACCTGTCGGCAAATACAGATTAAGGATTTGCGGAAGATGGTGGCTCCACACATTGTTACGCTGCGGGCATAGTTTGGGCAATTGCATTAGGCGTGGGCTGTTGTACAGTACCATTTCTTCTTACGGGTCAGCTCTGCTGCCTAGAGATGTATCAATGGCGCCATCGCCGAGGTTGACGGAGAGGTCGAGTTGGTGAAGCGAAAAAGGGCTGAGGGCTGAACAACGCTTGTCAGGTGGCTCATCTAGAAGAGGCGGGAGACGACACGTTCTCCGATGACCCGGATGTGGACGAGAGACTTGTCTAGTGCCATGATGCCATCCAATTCGGACTTGTTTGAGGTATGATGTTGACAAGCAACAGGGCAACAGAGTCAAGAATGCAGAGGCATGAGCTGCGATCCCAAGCCAAGTCGCTGATACTGCTGCGACATTGGGATGCTTGCATTGACATTTGTCCCCCTAAACCCGTGCTTGTAAGGCTGCCGAGGGAGGAGGACATGAAGCTCCAGACTTACGACAGGTTGACTGCGGTCCTCCCTGGCCAGCCCGATGCTTGCCAGAAGTAGTTGTCGTTGAGTGTGAGCAAGCCTACGCTTCAAGTCGGAGCATTGAGGACTGCCCAGCAAAAGTTTTCAGTATTGCAATATGCAGCAGTCCGTGCATGGTGTAGATTGATAGAAGCACGCCCACATGTAGTTTGAGATATGGCCTTCTGCAATGCTGTGATACTGCTAGTCTTCGGCACATTTCGCAGCCAATCCAGCAGGGGGAGTATTACGAAATGTGTGATGGCAAAAAGATGATGTTCGGGAGTCTTGGGAGTTAAGCAGCATGCCAATACGCTGGCGACCCCCCTTTTCCCTCTTCATCTCCTCCCTCCAAGAAGCTATGGTTGCGCGGGCTCCATGGTTGTCGCGCAAGCGTGAACAGGTTTCACTCCTGTATCATTGCATTGGTTAACTGGTTCACGCAGTTATTTCGTGGAGTCTTCCGTCAATTCATGACAAACGCCTGGTCGAGCAAGACCTCTTCCGGCACGACTGGTTGTCCACTCATTGTATTGAACCTTAGATGCTCAGATTCCCGCTAACCGCTTCAGACCCTGTGCAAAGATCTGTACGTTCTTTGCCTTGACACAATCTGTGATCGCGTTGGCCATTCGTTTCCATTGAGCACAAAATTGGCAGATCCATTCGGCGGGCGTGCAAATTGCAACGGATCTATATCACTGCATATGATTACAAAGTAACACCCCAAAGTATCAATGATGAAAGAAGAGAACACTTGCATTCCCCTGCCAGGATTGAGCCGTCTGCCTTTGGGTGGCGCGGGCGAAGCCATTCTTGCGGCAACGCGCGCTACACAGCGAGACCACGTGTCGGAGTTAAGGCTGCCAGATGCCGGAGGCGGCGCCGATGGCGACATGCAGCTGCATTTCATCATGTCATCTAGCTGTCCATGCCATGCTACGGTTGCAGCTGCAGTGCTGAAGTTGTCCTATTGCTGCTGCTGCTGCTGCAACCACTACTCACTACTACTACTACTACTACTACTACTACTACCACTACTACTACTACTACTACTACTACTACTACTACTACTACTACTACTACTACTACTACTACTACTACTACTTCTACTTCTACTACTACTACTACTGCCACCAGCCGTACTACTGCTACTTTTGCTGCTGCTACTACTACTACTACTACTACTACTACTGCTAGTGCTACTGCTATTGCTACTACCGCCACCACCCGTACTACTGCTACTACTGCTACTACTGCTGCTACTGCTACTTTTGCTACTACTGCCTCTTTTGCTACTACTGCTATTCCTGCTACAACTGCTACTACTGCAGCTACTCCTGCTGCTGCTACCACCACCACCATCACCACTACTGCTACTACTGCTACTACTGCTACTACCACTACTACTACTTCTACTACTACTACTACTACTACTGCTACTACTGCTACTACTACGCCTGCTGCCACTGCTGCCAGTACTAGTACATTGTGCCAGGAATTTAGCACGATATTTGTCTTCGTCATCTTGGTAGTCTTGGTGGTAATCTTGGGGGCGGCAAGATCACCATGATTGCCGTAATCCCGGTAATCCTGCTCAGACAGCATCTGCTAAAGGGGGGGTACAAGATTATGCATCATCTTGGCAATCTTGTTCGTCATTTAGTCTTTCGTGGTTTTTTTTGGGTCTGGGTTAGCGCCATCTTGGTCATCTTGGTGGACTACTTGCACCACGAAATTGCCAAGACTAGAGCCACCGTTCCGGACCGCAAATCCCCCACCAAGACTACCAATATTACACGTCATCTTGTCCAGCGATTCTGGGTTTGTGTTTAGGGTTTAGGGTTTTTTCGTTTTCAGGGTTGAGGGTTTTCGGGGTTAGGGTTTAGGGTCTTAGGGTTTAGGCTTTTAGGGTTGAGCTTCAAGGCTTCAAGATTTAAAACTTTGGGGCTTGGGGCTTTTGGTGTAGGGGTTTGGGTTTAAGGATGACACACTGATGACACTTTACGGTCGGGCTTAGCGGTGCGCCCGGCCCACGCATTGCTTTAGGGTTTACGGGTTTGGGTTGAGGGTTAAGTGTTCAGCGCTTTTTGGGGTTTTATGGTTTAAGGGTTTAGGAATTTAGGGTTGTTTAGAGTTTACAGTGACGCACGCGCCCGGCGAGTGCATCGGTTTAAGGTTTGGAGGGTTTAGGGGTTGGGGCGGTAAGCGCATGATGATGATGATCATCCATCATCATCATCATCATCATCATCATCATCATCGCAACGCCATCAGCATCACGCTGAGCCGATGTAGCTGAGGACCATATTGGACATCGTGGACAGTGTCTCTGATTCAAAGTTTCCTCCGTGAAGAACCCGATCGGGACACTGACATGCAGTTCCGACATCCGGACAATTGAGAGCAGGGCATCCACACGTCAAAGACTGTGCTGGTGTTGCTCTGCGAAGGATGGAAAAATCGAGAAGTTCTGCGCATGTGCATGCACGTCGAGTGGAGCATAGAGCGGTCCCGATCAATCATCGTTGAGTCAATCCCTGGCCTATTCTCAGGTCTGCGCTCCTCGACATGCTCTCAGCGATGAAGTGCTGGCACTTTGCTGCTGGGTGTCTCACGCAAACTCGGGGTTAGTGTGTTTGCTCCTGGGGAAAGCCCTTAGTGCCCTGCATCCTACATGCTACAGCGATGAATTGAGTCAAGAAGCAGATCGTGCACACTGCAAGGGGCCCCCTGTCGCTGGGCTATCCTGCGCTCTTAGGCAGGGGAGGGCAATTCGTGCACACCGCCGCACGGACTACAGCCCTTGGCCTGTCGCAAAACCCTAAAATTTGCATGTGCTTATTGAACTTTCGCGGCTGCTGCAACAATTGCAGTCGAGAGCACTCTTTCTCATCTGCAGGCTGCGGCTCAAGACGGTCTGAGGCCCCTAACGCTTGTAACTGCCGGGGTCCCCTGCACCGGGCATCGGGCATCATGGGGGGAGATGGCGGCCAGGCCCGCAAGCAGGGCTAGGACTTGGGGATGCAGAGAGTGCTGACAGGTGGGGTGTATAGAGACCTCAAGTTCAAGAAGCCTACGTTGCAGGTTATCGATCGGGCCACCATGGTCAAGACCAAGGGATGGGGCCTGACGAAGGCGCCTTTCCACAGCCACACTCCATGGCTTCACTTCCACAGCATTCTCACCAAACCTTGCGAGAAGAGTCTCTGCACTCCCAGGCCCCTGTAACTCCCAAGTTCGTAGTTTTGCAGCTTCGTGCAGTCCAGCGGGGACAGATTTGCCGTGGTCCCAGAACGGAAGGCGAGCCTGTTGTCCGAACTTTCGCGTGCATTTTCGTTGGTTCAGAAGCAAGCGAACACGAGGGCCATGTCCAAGAAGAGGATCGAGGAAGGGCGCCGGTAAAGGAGCACGGAAGGAGAAGGGAACTAGACAGAGTGTGGTATCTTTCAGAGGTCAACACATCGGAAGCCTGTGACAACGAGGGAAGGGAGGAGCTACCAAGGCGGCCTCGCTCGGCGAGATGAACAGCTACATGCAGATGGTCTTTGAGGACCCCGCCGGGGCTCGTGCTTGCGGGCAACGGTGCAACGGCTTGGGCTTCGGGGCCCTGGCATGTTCCCAGACGCTCTTGGGAGGACCGTGGGCTGGGCAACCTCGAGAGGTGCGCAGAGCCCTGCGCATGTAGCTTTCTAGCTCCCACTTAAGCCGACTCCTTCCACGCATGTCCTTGAGTTGGGCTTGTCTCCGCATCGCGCGCCACGAAGCATCATCTTCACAGCAGCGCTTCCAGGCACCGAGTTCGCATGACCACCTGCATGATTTCTCAGCAGGCAGGTTGGGACTTTTCTGGAATGAGCTTTTTGCTATGCGACTCGCCTCGAGCACGGCGGTTTTGTCCTTTGCCTTGCAAAGTAATTTCATCTAGAATCTAGAAATAAGCTAGGCAAGGTAATTAGTTGTAGTTAGGATCGGCTCAGGCTCTCCGCGACCCGGTGGTGGCCCCCAGCCCAGTCGTGCAGACAAAGCTATGCAAGATGGACTCATGGACTCACTACGACGATGTGTGCCAGAGCTTCCGCTTGCATAAGAGTGTCTTTAGCCGTGCAGTTTTGTGGCATGTCTTTGCACGTGTCGAGGCGTGCAAACTTGGAAATCTCTACAACAAAGAGGCCTGCCAAGCACGCTGAGCCTAGAGCACCGACTTCAGCGCCAGAACGCTTCCTTGCCCTGGAACTGGAACATCTATTCCGGAGACTGCCTTGATGACAGGGGGCTAAGCCAGTCATGTTCGAAGAGGCCGTGGCCTTCTGTCAGGCCGTAATTGCAGCTCTGCTGAATCGGAAGATGCCGGACGACCTCTCCCACATCCGTGGATTAAAGGACCGGAAGTAGTGTGTGATTGCCAAGTGCTTCAATTCCTTTCAGTTGCCGCGACGGTAGTTCAAAGTTCAACGAAGGCAGCACTGAAGCAGCAGGGCTACACCGAAGAGATTATCTTGTTGAGTGGTAGTTAGTAGCACAAGTAGGGGGACCTGGCAATGGTCACAGTTCGTCCTTGACCATGGGCTCTCAATGAGATGAACCTCGCAGGATGTGAAGCAGCCGGACACTCAGACTCGGGCACTGCCAAGAGCTGCTGCTTTTGTTGGTGCTTGTCCAACTTATCTTTTGACTCGTTTTGGAAGTCCTCTATGAATCTTGACTTTACTCCACCACCACCAACGCCACTACTGCCATGTCGGACCGACGACGACAGTACTACGACGACACAGACGACCTGGCCTCGTTCTCTGCGCATGCAGGAACACGACGAAAGAGATTGAGAAGGGAGACCCCGAGTTTGACTGAGTCACGTGCAACAGCATTTCGTATCATTTCGTTAAAGATACCTACGGAAGCACGTGTATGAGGATGACCTGTGACGATGATGATGAGGATGAGGATGATGAGGATGAGGATGAGGATGATGATGATCATGATCATGATCATGATCATTATGAGGGGATGACCATGGGGCATCTCTATGCGCAGTACCTGCCAGTGTACTGACCGTTTTTAACAATTCCACGGCTTGTCGAGGTAATGAAACAGAAAGAAACAGAAAGAACTGGAATACCGACAAGGGCCAGACACGTCAGGTGCGTTATCACGTGGGCCGAAGCGGAGAAGGAAGAGGGAGAGAAGCGAATGGCTGAAGCCTCAGAGGTTGAGAATTCAGAAGTGTCGAAACTCCTTCAGAGTGTATGGTGTTGTGTTGGATTGCAGTGTTTGTATCCCATGATATGGGCCTTGGACCACCGGCTCTGCCTTTCCAGGTTTGTCCGGTCTCCAGAGAAGACTTGGACTCTGGGAGCAGCCGTGCCGCCGAAGGCTCAGGGGCTGGGAAGTTGGAAACAAGTCTCTTCCCATGTGTTGCTGGTGCAGGACTCAGCGATCAAGTGCATGGTGGTAGCTCTGAGCGATGTATTTTAGCATTCGCTTCATTTTACTTTCAGGTTTCTGATCCCGCTAAACTCCTAGTACTCTTGGTTGCCAGACTGAAGCTGCGTCCCCGACCGAGGTGCTCATTTGGCCCAGTGGAGCCGTGATTGGAGCGAAGAGCCTGAAGGAGATGAAGATGAAGGCTTGCGGCTGCTGTCGTGGGAAATTGCTTCCATTAGCGCATGTGCAGCCGAATGTCACATTTTGCGTGTATGTTCGAGGGTTTCGAAGCAGCTCGTCGCGCTGTCTGTTGGTTTCTCAAACTCTCATGGCAAGACTTTGCTCACATTACCGCCTCTCCGGAGACAGGGAGCGTAGCACCATTGCCATCGGTCTTTAGAAGCTCGGAAACCTTGCCAACAGCAGCTGAAGCCTAAGACCTCTCATGCACTCGTCGGTAAGCTTCTGAGAAGAGAAACTTCGGTGCTCGCCGTTCCCAGGAGTGCCCTTTGACCTCCAAGCCCTTCGACGCTGACAAGGATCGGGTTTTGTCTGCAAGCTGTTTCATGCAGAGGCGTGGAGCTTCTGTCAGTGATTGCACCACTATGCGCTGAGGACATCATTCCGCTGGCGCCAGACGGTGAGGCCCTGGCAGTTACTTCACTACTTCGAGTAGCAGGCTGCTGGTGCTGCTGCAGCTGCTAGTGCTATTTAAATTATTGATGCCATTGTCATGGCGAATCTGCAAACCGGGATTGGTGCGATGTGGCAGCATTGACATCAATCAGAACAACAGTTGATCCACGAGAGCCGCTTCCTGTTGGCTGCAGTTTTCAGTTGAGAGGAGCTTCTGAAGCTCCGGGCACGCTTACCCACAAAGAAGCGAAAAGCTCAGGCAGGGTCTCGGGCTTTGTTCGGACGTCTTGCAGATGAAGAACAGTTGCACCTCTTGACAGGCTGTGGCAGCTCCGGCCGAGGAAGAGGAGGCCTTCCAGAGTTAACTCCGTGCAGGGTAGCTTCGCAATGGTGCCGACGTCATTCGACGCCTTCTGGCTTCTGTGCGCGTGCCCAGGAAGAAGCTTCGAAGCCAGAGGCCACCAGAGATCTTATGCAATCTCGAGTCCCTCCGCAGCCTTGTAGCCTGCCGGCCGGCAGGCCAAAAGTCAGAAGGATGCCACAAAAGATAGCGAAGTATACAAGAAGCTCTTCACAAAGGACGACCGTCGAAATGACTTCGTGTTTGCATTCAGAGGTTTTGACAAGTTGCATGACCGAGCTGTGCATGTCGACACTAGACGGACAAGTTTTCCAGGACCGCGAGGGCCTGGGAGGCGCGGAGACGCTTCGGTTGCTGTGCGGAGATGTCTCTCTTTGCACCGACTCAGAGGTAAACTCGGGGTCCGGGATCGGAGCGCTTCGCTATCTTCCGTGGCAGGTGTGCGCGATGCCTTCGGAACGCCCATATACAATCGTGGCGCCAGATGCATATAGGCTTGCGCCTACTCTAAGGTAACATAGTATTTGGAGTGCGGTCGACGGAGTGGGATGTGGCAATGTAACTCAGGCAGGTAGTAGTAGTTGGTGAAAGCCCAACAGTGTATGGGATCTCCGCACCTGTACATACGCGGTTTCACCAAAATCAGCTCGCAGGGCTCCAGCTTACTCTGAGCAAGGAAAACGGCGCGAAAGTTTGTCCCAAGCTCCATGTGGTGGGTGTCGAGAATCTTGCAGGCTTTCGATCTCGCAGTTGGTTTACATGACGACGGCCTTGTCCGTGCGGCTAGGGAAGACTTGGTCGGAGTCGTGATCCATCAGAAGCCTTTGCTCCGTGCGGACGATGTCACATGTCACAGGCGGCGCGGCCTGAATTTGTTTCGACACCTGCTCATGGCTTGCCATGTTGCCGGAATTGGGTGCGTCGGCGACATGGTCCACAGGACTGATTTGCTTTGGTTGCACTGCGCCGTGTGACTGTCCTCGGACGACAGTGATGGATGCCTGGCGATTGAGGATCTCGGAAACGAGAAGCCTTGGGGTTGCCAGTGGAGCATTCACCTAGTCGGCGAGCCTCGGGCTCATCCAGGCATCGGAAAACACCAAAAGAGCCTTGCATGAAGGCAGCAAATGTCACGGCAACTTACTAGGTGTTGATGGCCTCTAAAGACTGTGGCGAAGGTGTCCCGACATGCAACTCGTATAGTTTTGGGGCCCTGACTGCTTGTTGGTCACACAAACGCAGGTTCGTTGGGAAGGGCCCTTGGCGTTGCATGAACTTTGCAAGTTTCGATCATCTGTCGCTCTGGGCCCGAGGCCCCAACAGATCACAGGTTTACGTTTGCCTCCCGTCGTAGCCTTTCCGACTACCGAAGTGAGCGAGGGCCAGCAGTGTTTTGCTCTATGTTTCATTGTTGCTATGGAGGGTCTCTCCACTCCTTCTCAGTGAGATGCAGTGTTGTTGCAGATTATGGGGGTATTAACCGTTATTAAGCTTCGGGACCCCTTTCTTGGTTTCCCAGGTTTTACTCCTGCTCAGGTGCTTCTAAAACTGCATGGATCACTTGATAAACCCATCGTCATAGACGGTGGAAGCCACTGTTTCCTCACGCACGAAGTTGAGCAGTTCTAAACACGTGTTTACTCGGTTTCGAGATGTACTTCGGCCGCACCGGCTGCCGCTACATCTTCGCAAGGAGCAACCCCTGACCCCTTTGATCCCGTGTCGCTGGTCGCAGCCGTTAGCGCGGGCGTGGGCCGAGAGCCCTGGGGCGATCCGGGGCCGCTTTCGCGCGGAAGCTGCACAGAGGCCAGGCCGGCACAGAAATATCTCTATCTATATCTATAATTATCTATATCTATATCTATATCTATCTATCTATATATATATATATATATATATATATATATATATACATACTAGGGGCTGCGCCCAGGTGCGGGCTCTCAGCCCTCGTCGGCAGCCCGCACCGCCCTCCGCCAAACCCCGCTGATGCTCATGATGCGCGCCCCTTTGGGGCTTCCTAAACCAATTCAAAAGGCAAAGCATAGCCAAAACATCGCCTCCGGCCAAAAGGCCGGTTGCGGGCGCCCAAAGGCTCATGATGCTCGCCGCCTGGGGTCGTCCATACCGTGGGGAATGGCTGCAAAACGCGTGCGCGTTCCGAGAAGCCTCCGGGCGAAGGCCTGCGCGGCCCGACGGAGAAACGAAGGTCCGATGAAGCAGGGTCGGCGGCGGGTCGGCGGCACAGGCGGTCGTGGCTTTTGCTTCGCAGAAACTCCGTTCTTCGTCTGAGCCAAGCTCAGAACATACAGGGCAGCGAGCGCTGCCCGATTTATGGGTTGCCGCCACTGCCGCCGACCCCAAAAGCAGAGAGGTGACTATCCAAGGAAGGCAGCAGGTGTTGAAAGCAGCCAACGTTCCTGATACACGGAGGAAGTGACATGAAATAATAAGATAGGGCCTGCAAGTCTTGTAACTGGCACGAGTAGCATGAGCACATGACTGATGCGGCGAAGTATTCGGACTGATGCAGCGGTCAGCTCTCGGACATTGTGTGGGCATGTTTCATCAACCTTGTGACTCAGAGGCAAAAGGCATTCGCACAAAACCGAATTTCGCATCAAAGCTGTATTTGTTATGATGGGGTGGTATGACAAAAAAATCGCGCGCGCGCGCGCGGCGGCGCATCGCAAGGCCGGCAGTAGATCCAGGTCACGTCGCGTGGATCAGCATAGTGTGGCAGCTCTGACAGGAGGTCGCGACGTGGCCATCTCCAGGAGCGCAGGCTGGCCGAATCTCAAACACATCGCTTTAAACCCCCATTCCAAACTTCCAACTTCGTTCACTTAATGCTGCTGTTTTCGGCAGTGTTGCAGGGATGGGCTAAACACGTTTGGAGTTTAAACCGTTTAAACATAAACATGTTTAAACATATTTCGGAGGTCTGGCGTTTAAACAAATCTGTTTAAACACTTCTGCCCGCTTCTCTTGTTTAAACAGGTTTTGTTTAAACAGTTCTGGCAGGTTTGAATAATATGTTTAAACATCCTCCTCTGAATCATTGTGTGCGGCAAGGTCTGCATATCGCTGTCCGAGCTGGTTCTAGAGCTGAAGGATAGGAGCACTGAGGCGGTTGCGTTGCCCAGCGAGTGACTGCCAGTACTCCTGAAGCCCTTCCGTCAGTCACTGTAGTGTGTGTTTGTGTATGGTAAGGTGTGTAAGTATGCAGTGCAGTGTCCCTTGGGTGTTAGCCTGGGGGTAGGCCTAGCTTCCCTGCTCAGATCCGGTTTAAACTTGGGGTTGCTGATGGGGCGGCCCAAAGCCGCCAGCGATGCGGCAGCACTCGCTGCCCAGCGGTTGCACGTTCAAACTGCAACTGTTCCTCATGCTGAGGACATAGAGCGCGTCCGGCCACGCGGTAGATCCTGGGCGTATGAACACTTTCACTTGCGCAAAGTGAACGATGTGTTGCAAAAGGACGTGTTCTTTTGCAACACCTGTTGCCCAGGCAGCAAAGGCACGACAGACAACCATCATCAAATTGAAATCTGCCGCTCTCAACCCGTTGGCGAGGCACCTGAAAACAGCCCACGGCATAGAGGGTGCGGGTGAAGGAGTCAAGACTTCGCCAGGGCCCGGGCCAGCGAGCCCTGGGCACATCCAGGCCTACACACGGTTCCCGAAGAAGATCAACGAAGATCTGCTGGATTCCTTTGCACGGGAGCTATTGATACGTGACCTCGAGCCGTTCAATATATGCGAGCATGAGGGGTTTCGGACATTTTGTCAGGAACTCAACCCGCGGTTTCAGTTGTGCTCACGAAGAAAGATGTCAAGCAAGGTTGTTGAGCGAGTTTTGACAAGTTTCGAAGAGGAGACGGTCAAGCTCATCCAAGAGGCCGTGAAAGATTCCAATACGGTGATTCATTGGGCTGGTGACCTCTGGTCGGCAGACTACACTCAGCAGCAGCATCTGGCGCACATGCTCCAGTTCTGCACTGTTGATTTCCGGCTGGTCACGCTGCGCGTGTCCATGGAGCCGTTCGACCAGTCCAAGACTGCCGACAATCAGCGGAGAGCCACTAACCAGGTCATGGAGGCAATTCGGCTGGCTCATTCGTTTAAGTTTCTTTCAAGAGTCCTTGTCAAGACTCCTTGAAAGGTTCCTGTAAGGGTTCCTTCAGAGGTTCCTTTAAACGTTCTTTTAAGGCTTCCTTCTAAGGTTTGCTTTTCATGGTTCTTAAAAGCCTGGAAGGACTTGGAGCTGCGGATTGCGCAGATGGGTTGCTTTACTACCGACGCGGAGTCTGGGTTGACGAAGGCAGTGAACGACTACACGAAGCTTTGCTCTGGTGGACGCAAGGACACTCCTGTTTGACGGAGAGCCCCCCGGAGCCTTCAACCCTAAGCTGAGACGGTGTTAGGGCTGAGGTTCATTCAGTCATTGGGGTTGCTATTATTCAAACGCCTCACAACGCTGCCATCATTCAATTCTTTCCTTTCTTTCCTTTCTGGGGGGCCCCTCCCTGGCTGCGGCCTAACTGCGGGCATCATTCAACTCTTTTCTCTCTTTCTTTTCTGGGGGGCCCCTCCCGGCTGCGGCCTAACTGCGGGCATTGTCATTCAACTCTTTTATCTCTTTCTTTCCGGGGGGCCCCTCCCTGGCTGCGGCCTAACTGCGGGCATCTTTCACTTCTTTCCTTCTTTCTTTCTGGAGGGCTCCTCCGCTCCCTGGCTGCGGCCTAACGCATATTTGAATATGTTTAATGTGTGCGTCAAGGTGGGAATATCGCTGTCCGAGCAGGCTCTAGAGCTGAAGGATAGGAATGCTGAGGCGGTTGTCCCGAGAGTGACTGTCAGTGCTCTTGAAGCCCTTCCGTCGGTCACTGTAGTGTGTGTCTGGACCTGTCAATGAATATGACGCCTCGGAGAATGCAAGTAGCCTTCTTGCCATGCCATGCAGTCGATGCAGTGCAGTGCTACAACTTGAGCCAACTGCGAAGTTTGCAGCTTGGTCAGTGGGTCCGGGCCACTGTGTTTTCGCCTCCACTTCCAGGAATGGAAGTTCGCGTGCAGGCCGAAGGCGTGGAGGCCGGCTCGACATGGACAGTGGAGTACCAGCTGGAAGAAGTATTGTTGCTCGAAAGGCAGCAGATGACGCTGGTTGCCAGACCTATAGCAGCACTCGCCGTTTTTGCAAGAGTGCAGTCTGAAACCCCAGTGTCCGTGATGCTCAGGGTCCGTTTTGGATCCTTTCCTGCTTGGCATCCGGGACACCAATTCCGAAGCAGCATTTCTTTTCTGCCCACACAGTCGGTTGAAGAAGTCGCGAGTTGCATTTTCTGGCACGTCCGACGGCTCTTTGCAGCACTGTTTACTCCAACTGAGTTTGACACATATCGGCTCATCGTCGAGAATCGCCGGACGGTGGATCACTGGCATCTGGGATTGAGTGCGTTCTTGAGGCAAGAGGGCTCAAGCGACTATTCTTCGCCGGAGAGCGAGAGCGAGGTCGACTAATCCTTTCGTCCCTCCTGCAGTGTTGAGGAAAGAGACGGCCGACAGCAATCTTGGACTTTGTACTCGAAGCCCTGAAGCACAAAAATCAAATGCTGACACCTTGAGCCCAAGACCCTGAAGCCACGTACTGTTTCTGGAAGGTTTATGGTGCTGTCAAGGTTGCAAGGTTTGAGGGACCCGGAACGTTGTGTGAGGCACGAAGGAGCGTAAGAAAGGGATTCAGGTTAGGGAGGCCGTGCCAGTAGGGTTTAAACATGTTTAAACGCCGTGCGTTTAAATGTCTGAGGCATAGAGTGAGCGTACGAGAGAGGGATTGAGGCCCTCCCAATAGCCCACGGCGTTTAAACACGTTTAAATGTTGTGCGAGGCGTGAAGTGAGCGTAAGAGAGGGATTGAGGCCGTGCCAGTAGCCCACGGGGTTTAAACATGTTTAAACGCCTTGCGTTTAAACGCGTTTAGACGTTGTGTGAAGCGTGAAGTGAGCGTAAGAAAGGGATTGGGGCCGTGCCAGTAGCCCACGGGGTTTAAACATGTTTAAACGCCGTGCGTTTAAACACGTTTAAACGTTGTGTGAGGCGTGAAATGGGCGTAAGAGAGGGATTGAGGCCGTGCCAGTAGCCCACGACGGGGTTTAAACATGTTTAAACGCCGTGCGTTTAAACACGTTTAAACGTGTGTGAGGCGTGAAGTGGGCGTAAGAGAGGGATTGAGGCCGTCCCAGTAGCCCACGGGGTTTAAACATGTTTAAACGCTGTGCATTTAAACACGTTTAAACGTTGTGTGAAGCGTGAAGTGAGCGTAAGAGAGGGATTGCGGCCGTGCCAGTAGCCCACGGGGTTTAAACATGTTTAAACGCCGTGCGTTTAAACACGTTTAAACGTTGTGTGAGGCGTGAAGTGAGCGTACGAGTGTGGTTCGGAATAGTAGGGAGGCCGTGCCAGCAGCCCGAGGTTGAAACATGTTTAAACGTCGAGTGTTTATACGTGACTAAACGTAGAAGAGGTCGTGAGGCCCTATATGGTCCCCTGTGTACAGTGCCTATGTGACTAACCTGTTTTATAGTATAACTTCAAACCCTCATCCGAGAAAAAACGCTCCCGTATAGTAGATGCCCCAGAGCACGAAATTTTTCTGAGACTTTTAGCCCTGTCAAGCCCGATTCCCTAAACCCTGAACCCCTAAACCCCTGGTCCCTAATGTCCAGCGCAGGACTTCATCGGAACGCGGATTCCGTGCGCTGCACATTCCTTGCAGACTCCCTGCAAACATCAACTATGCAAGGAGTTCGATGAGAACAAGAACCAAAAGCACTATGCGGACAAAGATGTGTTTCAGTTGGTAAGCGACTGCAGGGCCACGGTGGCCCATTTCCACAGATCGGGCAAGCAGACCAGGGTCCTGCAGGTGGGGCCTTCTTCTAAGGATCACGTATGGCCGCTTGAAAATAAAGCTGTAGTCACTGTAGTCGTAGCCCGTTCAGGACATGGCCAAAGCGCGAGGGGAGAAAGACACGAAGCTGGTGGGCGATACGGACACTCGTTGGAATTCCACATTGCTCATGATGGAGTCGATTTGGTAGCTCGGCAAGCAGCACGAATTGTCAAGCAACCTTAAAATCTCCAGCAGCAGCAACCCTGCAAACCCAAAGAACAAGCAGCCCAGGCAACACAAGGAGTCATTATGCGCTTATGCCACGGAGAAGCCTGGCAAGGTTCCAAAGTGGGACAGCAAGCGGATGCTGGAAGTCCGCGACTGTATCGGCGTCCTGCTGCCGATCGCGCAGGGCACAGACATCGTGCAGGGTGCCAAGTATGCCACAGCTTCGTACCATTTGCCGACTTTGTGCACAATCCGGAAGAGCCTGGACAAGACAACCCCTGTTTACGTCCAGGAAATTGCCGGCGGTGAAATCGCTATGCGGGAGGATCAAAAGTCCAGTTGCACAGGACTTTTCTTGCCGTAAGCCCTATATGCCCTAAAACGCTTCTGGAGCCGTGAAACTTTTCATCCTAAACCCTCAAAGGAGGCATTTCCAGTACTAAAGTTGTACTACAAGCAAGCACAATCCAGCCAGGACCCGAAACGAGCCTTTTCCAGTACTCAAGTTGTACTACAACCAAGCACAATCCAGCCAAGACCCCAAAGGAGGCATTTCCTGTACTAAAGTTGTACTACAACCAAGCACACTGCAGCCAGGACCCCAAAGGAGGCATTTCCAGTACTAAAGTTGTACTACAAACCAAGCACAATCCAGCAGGACCCGAAACGATGCCTTTTCCAGTACCAAAGTTGTACTACAACTAAGCGCAATCCAGCCAGGACCCCAAAGGAGGCATTTCTTGTACTAAAGTTGTACTACAACCAAGCACAATCCAGCCAAGACCCCAAAGGAGGCATTTCCTGTACTAAAGTTGTACTACAACCAAGCACACTGCAGCCAGGACCCCAAAGGAGGCATTTCCAGTACTAAAGTTGTACTACAAACCAAGCACAATCCAGCAGGACCCGAAACGATGCCTTTTCCAGTACCAAAGTTGTACTACAACTAAGCGCAATCCAGCCAGGACCCCAAAGGAGGCATTTCTTGTACTAAAGTTGTACTACAACCAAGCACAATCCAGCCAAGACCCCAAAGGAGGCATTTCCTGTACTAAAGTTGTACTACAACCAAGCACACTGCAGCCAGGACCCCAAAGGAGGCATTTCCAGTACTAAAGTTGTACTACAAACCAAGCACAATCCAGCAGGACCCGAAACGATGCCTTTTCCAGTACCAAAGTTGTACTACAACTCAGTACAATCCAGCCAGGACCTCAAAGGAGGCATTTCTTGCACTAAAGTGGTACTACAACCAAGCACAATCCAGCCAAGACCCCAAAGGACATTTCCTGTACTAAAGTTGTACTACAACCAAGCACAATCCAGCCAGGACCCCAAAAAACCATTTCCAGTACTAAAGTTGTACTACAAACCAAGCACAATCCAGCCAGGACCCGAAACGATGCATTTCCAGTACTAAATTTGTACTACAACTCAGCACAATCCAGCCAGGACCCCAAAGGAGGCATTTCTTGTACTAAAGTTGTACTACAACCAAGCACAATCCAGCCAGGACCCCAAACGAGGCATTTCCAGCACTAAAGTTGTACTACAACCAAGCACAGTCCAGGACCCCAAAGGAGGCATTTCTAGTAGCAGAGTTGTACTACAAGCACAATCCAGCCAAGACCCCCAAAAAGCTATTTCCAGTACTAAAGTTGTACTACAACCAAGCACAATCCAGCCAGGACCCGAAAAGATGCCTTTTCCAGTACCAAAGTTGTACTACACACCAAGCACAATCCAGCCAGGACCCCAAAGGAGGCATTTCTTGTACTAAAGTTGTACTACAACCAAGCACAATCCAGCCAGGACCCGGAACGAGGCATTTCCAGTACTAAAGTTGTACTACAAACCAAGCACAATCCAGCCAGGACCCCAATAAAGGCATTTCCAGTACTGAAGTTGTATCCGTAATGCCCCTTGTAGGAGCTCCGCAACAGATTACGCCTGGAGTACACAGAGTTCTTTGCAGAGATCACCATTACTCGCGATGCCAAAGAGATGCTCATTACAGCAGCAATGCTGGACCCCAAGTTCAAAGGCCTGCAATGGCTTCCGGAGTGCACAGGCCCCGACAAAAAAGAAGAGCCCCAACGCGACGTTCGTGAACAGGAGCCGGACACCCAAACTTAAACTTACCCTAAACCTCACCGCCCGCCTTCTAAACACCTATATGCCAAGAGCCTTCAAGCTTGAAACCCAGTCCAGCAGATAATCCTCAGGCTCCTGATGGTGTATAAACAGCTTTACAACGAGCCGCCTGACAACCAGACCGTGGAGACGCCTTTGCAAGTCCCCAACGAGGACCGTGTTTGCATCCTCCTTAAGTAGTGTCTAAGATGGTTTATCTCTCGGAAGTCCTAACCTTCAGGAGGACGTCCGCAAAAAGCGGAGCTTCTTCAACCGCTTTCAGCAGATCCCGGCGCATGAGGCGGCTGATGCTGCAGATCCCCGTCCAGTTCCTGAAACTTCGGGCACAGCTGTTGCAAGCGCATGGGCTGCATTCAAAAGTTCTTTGATGGTGCAAGTTTATGCATACTTGATGGGTGCAGCGCCCGCAGATGACGTTGAGCCCTTGGAGTTTTGGGCGAAGTTTGGCATGGCCCAGTATCCGATGTTGGTGGTGCCGGCCCGGTACTACCTCTCCATTTTCGCGAGCCAGGCCACAGCAGAGCGGACTTTCAGCACGAGTGGAGCACGCCAGAGGCTGGGCAGCGGCAATCTGTCGCCGGTGATGCTTGCCAGGCTGACGCAAGCCCATGTGAACTATAGAAGTGTCATGCAGTCTAAAGCACGTCGAGCACAACTCGAGCGCAGTGGTAGTAGCAGTGATTTCAGCACGCCGCCGAAGCGCAAGGCAGCAGAGCTCGAGGAAGGAGAAGATTCGGAGTGTTGAAGGCGACAGACCAGCGGAAACCCTGCAAGCCGGCCTGCACTCAAAAATCCTAAACCTTCAGCTCAAGCTAGGTGTCTTTGCAGCCTAATTCCTTCAACACAACGGTCTAGAAGCACAAGGCTGCACACGATCTGCTGGCCTGTCTGTCCGGGTGTCGTTTCGCGCACCACATCTTTAAAAGAACAGAGTGCCCAGCAAAACAAAAGACGGGTTGCCGCAGCTTTTTCGGAGTTTAGCAGTCCTGGTTCGATCAATTCTCTTAGGCGCTTTAGCAAGTCTTAAAGTAAAGTCAAGGCATGGTACAGTTTAAACTAAGATATGTTTAAACATCTCTGCGTGTTTAAACATATTGGTTTAAACATCTTGGCGTTTAAACAGTTTAAACCTGGTTTAAACAGTTTAAACAATTTCGGTTTCGGGGGGCCGTTTGTTTAAACATTCCTGCGTTTAAACAGTAAATGTTTAAACAGTTTAAACACAACCCCCTGCCCAACCCTGCAGTGTTGCGGGGGGTCCGGGCACGCATTGGCAGCCGTTAAATACTCTTTAAACACCTCAAAATACGCAGAATGGCAGCGTGGTGGTGGCCGCGGTGAGGGCGGTGGTAAGGGCGTGGGGGGGTCCGTGCTGAACACTTCAAAGTGTGGATGGTGGCGGCGGTGAGGGCGGTGTGGGCGGTGCGGGCGGGCGGTGAGAGTGGTGGGGGTGGTGAGGGCAGTGAGGGCGCGGGGGGGTTCGGGCACTTTAAGCAGTACAGCATGTACAGTGTGGTTAGTGGAGGTGGTGAAGGCACTGGGGCGGTGGGGGCGGTGAGTCCGGGCTAAACACCTCAAAATACCCAGAACGGCAGCGTGGATGGTGGCGGCGGTGAGGGCGGTGTGGGTGGTGGGGGCGGTGGGGGTGGTGAGAGTGGTGGGGGTGGTGAGGGCGGTGAGGGCGCGGAATGCGTTGGCAGCCTTTTTAATATACTCTTTAAACACTTCAAAATACGCAGTACGGCAGCGTGTGGTGGCCGCGGTGAGGGCGGCGGTAAGGGCGCGGGGGGGTCCGTGCTGAACACTTCAAAGTGCGCAGAACGGCAGTGTGGATGGGTGGTGAGGGCGGTGAGGGCGCGGGGGTCGGGCACACATTGGCAGCCTTTAAATACTCTTTAAACACCTCAAAATACGCAGTACAGCATGAGGGCAGTGTGGTTGGTGGAGGTGGTGAAGGCACTGGGGCGGTGGGGGCGGTGAGTGGGCTAAACACCTCAAAATACTCCGAACGACAGCGTGGATGGTGGCGGTGGTGAGGGCGGTGTGGGTGGTGGGGGCGGTGGGGGCGGTGAGAGTGGTGGGGTGGTGAGGGCGGTGAGGGCGCCGGGGGGTCCGGGCACGCTTGTCAGCCTTTAAATACTCTTTAAAGGTGAGGGCGGTGGTAAGGGCGCGGGAGGCTCCGTGCTGAACACTTCAAAGTACGCAGAACGGCAGTGTGGATGGTGGCGGCGGTGAGCGGTGTGGGTGGTGGGGGCGGTTGGGGGGGTGAGAGTGGTGGGGGTGGTGAGGGCGGTGAGGGCGCGGGGGGGTCTGGCATTGGCAGCCTTTTTAAAAACTGTTTAAACACCTCAAAATACGCAGTACAGCATGAGGGTCCGTGTTGAACACCTCAAAGTACGCGGAACCGCAGCGTGGATGGTGACGGCGGTGAGGTCGGTGTGGGTGGTGGGGGCGGTCGGGGCGGTGAGAGTGGTGGGGGTGGTGAGGCGGTGAGGGCGGGGGGGGGGTCCAGACACACATTGGCAGCCTTTAAATAAGAATAAAATGCTCTTTAAACACGTCAAAACACGCAGTACAGCATGAAGGCGGTGTGTGTGGTGGAGGTGGTGCAGGCTCTGGGGGCGGTGGGGGCGGTGAGTCCGGGCACGCATTGGCAGTAAACACACTCCCCTAACAACGAACAAACCTCTCGTGATATCACTGGCGCCGCCCGCAAAGGGGGTCGGCGGATCTCTCTCTCTCTCTCTATATATATATATATAATGCATATATATATATATATATATATATATATATCTACACACTGTGTTTGTATATGTATATGTAATATGTACATGTATATGTATATGTATACATGTATTTATATGTATATGTATATGCACATGCAAATGTATATACTATAATGTATATGTGTACATGTGTACTTGTGCATATGTGTACATGTGTATATGTGTACATGTGTATATGTTTATGTGTATAAGTGTTTACGTACATGTCTACACCCGCATAATGCATATAGGTTTTGTCATAAATGCCATACATACGTTGTAATATCATAACATACATGTACTAATATGTATATACACACATGTTTACACATACACATACCCGAGCCCTCCTTCCACAGCTTCCGGTTTGGAAGCGGTGGCTATTTTCTCCAAAACATCCGTATGTACGTACGTATGCACTCACAGCAATTCCGAATCTGCAGAATTTGCGCCTTAGAATTGGCATCTCGGGCTTCAGAACAAAGTGATGCAACTGCGGCAAACACAAACACTAACCATCCGGCAACTCAGCAATTCAGCTCCCTCAGTGGCAGGTCCATGATATGGGGAGCCTCGAGGCGCATTCTGCTGTCGCGTTTGCAGCGAGGGTCTCCTGCTCCATGCCAGGTGATCAGCCGCGGGCGGAGATCGTGCCAGGAGTGAGAGATGCCTGCGGGGGCCCAACTCCCAGCTCGAAGCGTCAGCACGCCCAGCGCGATTTTGAGGCGATGCGCCGGGCATTCGGCCTCTTCCGGGCAGCCGGGGCTGCAGCCGCACTTGCTGCACTGCCCAGGCAAAGCTCTGGGCGTCCTCTAGGAAGCATCAGCACTGCCGAGAGCATCAGCTCGTAGACGGTCTCCTCAAATCCTCGTGTGCCAGTCCATGAGTCAGGTCCGTAAGCACGACAGCAAATGAGTCAGTCGATCAATGGCAGGAAGCGGTGCGTGTGTGACGATTTGGCTGCGTCCGGCCCGGCACACACGCGCCGGAGTCCAACCAGTGGCATGGTGCTGGGGTTTGAACTCTTTGGAGAACACTGGCTTTATTCGCAACCACCCGTGCGTGTCACATGCGAGTCTACTGATACTGATGCTGATACCGTACAGGCCGTTCGTTGGCGCTTATGGGTTAGAAGAGAAGCAGAGGATGGCCGAAGAGCAACGCATGCTGCTGCATGCCAGTGATTTTCGGCTGCTGCCACGCATCTTGTGACCGTGTTCCGTGGCGTGATGTTGTGCTCTGTGCAAAGGTCGGGATCCAAGAACAGGATTTGCCTCGGACTCAGACACATCCGTTTGCAGCCATCAGGGAGTGACACCATGATACCACCAGAATACTTTACGCCTTCTACTAGCCCCCCGTACTGCCCTACTACCCATTGAAACATGGTCCGAATCCCAGCCTTCAGGAGATGCGTCTCGGGGACCCCCAGGGCATGAACCACGGTGCCTTGAGAGCAGTTATGGAGGCCGCAGGATTTCGTTCGGATTTGTGGTAGGAGCAAAAGTGTCGCTGGAAGAGAAGTGGAAGAAGTCGATGGGAACCGAAATGCTGAGGTCCGTTGCGGATCTTCTGCGGCAATGTCTCTTGGCAGAGTTGCAGTTCATGCGCGGTGTCAAGGTTTCGGAGCGGCGGAAGGTTCTTGACACAACTTCAGGCGCACCGCGAGCTTGCCGAAGCCATCGCGGCCAAGATGGGCCTCGTTCCAATTGTGCACTCACGGCTTTTCGACCGTAAGCTACCTGCAACAGTTGCCAAGCTGTGCCTCAGTGTAGGTGTGGTGTGGTAAGACTGGAGTGCCAACAGTAAGCTTCTTGTGACACGGAAGTTAGACATGTTGTCCTGAAGGCATGACTGCACCAGTATCTTGCAGTTGCCTGATCTCTTGAGAGAGTGGATGTATCCCGTGGGTGTATTGTTGCTAGATGTCGCACGTTCGCACCGGTCTTTGTTTCGGCCCTTGACGAAAATCATCAGAACTTCCAGCTTAGCCCTTGCGCCGACAATTGGCAAGCCTCCCCTTTTCAACGTGCAATCGCGCGCCGGGAGCCTGGCGAAGCGAATTGCATGAGACACGTAGCTCTTCATCCAGGTAGGCGTAAAGGGCTGAAATGAAAATCGACGACATGCAGATGTCGTTCGTGCATTTGCTATCGCCCATGAGGTCTTCCAATCCTGGAAGTGGAAATGGCAGGTAGCCTGGGCAACGGCAGATTCGTGGCTCATTGGCTTTCGCGGTCAAAGCTTTCTTGCTACATGCGACGTGGAGTGTTGCGACCGGAAGGGTGCTTGTGTGACTCAGCTGGGTGCCGCAAGTGTTCGCAAGCGGGACAGCAGAGGATCCTAGAACACAACGTCAGTCATTACGTGCAGCCGGCAGGTCCGTGGATTCAGAATTCTCATGCTCAGATGCCGGCGACACAGATACGTGTTCTGCTTGACGGAAGGTTTTTTTGATTCACCAGAGGAGCAGTTCGGTATCCGAAACGTCGTATTGCAGGGCAGTGCAGGAGCAAGTTCCCTCATGCGTTTGAAGGCATGATTCACTGATCTGACAGGTCACAGCAACAGCTGGATAAGGCTGGGCCGGTGCCGGCGCCCGCAGATTCCAACATGTAGAAGTCGTAGATTTGCTGATCACTGATCTTCGTGTGCCAGCGGCTCTGAATAAGTGGCCCCCCACAGAGGCTGTGCATTGCAAGCAACACTAGAATGGGTGTGGGCAGCAATGAAGGCCTCTGACGGCTGCCCAAAGCTTTAGGTTCCCAAAGCTTAGCTTCCAATGGAGGAGGGGCGTAAGCAGCGAGAGGGGCCAATCCCTGCAGTCTGGAGGGGCGGCGGTCCTATTTTCCAGTGAGTTTCCACACAGGGGGGTTTCCAGTCTGCAGGGGCTAGGATCACACATCCCAGCATATGTGCTCAATGCAGTGGCATGTCTCAGATTCAACTCTTGGCTTTGGGCTTGAACCCGTCAGCCAGTTGCTCGCATCGTAGTTCATCTGGAAAGTTTTCGTTTTGTGGTAAGATGCAGTGCATCCGGCAACAGCTGTGTTGTTGTCGACCATGCTTCATCCCCCGTGAATTGATTCAGCATATTTCACCAGACATGCGGTTCATGACATTGTTGGTTCTTTGCAGGCATTGGGGGAAGCGACTCAGCATTCAAGTCATTGTAAGAGCATTCAGGATGCCACCGAGTGAGCGAAACGCTTCGCCGTTCTTGAATTTTCTGTGTTGGCAAGCAGGTGTTCTTCGATGGTGGCCTGATGAACCTGGAGGCGCATCTGTGCAAGCCGTCGCTGAGCAGTCGGACAAAGCTAGCCATTTAAGCCCTAAACATCCCAAATCGTTCTGTTTGGTGTGAGAAGCTTCAGTTAGACTCGAACATGTGGGCGCGCCAGGAGTGCAACAGCCTGATGACGAGTACCGCCAGCGAGACTGGAACCGATTCGATGGGTGCGCCGCACCTCGTGGAGCTTGCCGTTGAGCTTGTATCGTGTTGCAGGTGTGGTAAAGACTGGATATGTTGATGGCACCCACGGCTTGCCTACATGCGTAGCGTGCATGGGTTGCATCAGGTATATATACACACACACACGAACACACAAACTCATATATATATATATATATATATAGATATATACCTATATATATATATATATATAAACATCTGCATCTACATCTCCATATATATATATACATATGTACGTAGATGCAGATGTGGCATGAACCTTTGTGTATAGCATGACTTCTTCCGTAGCTTATTGATACATCGGGGACCACATGGACTCTGAACTCTAAGCGAGGCAGTGCTTCACTGTTCTTCGTTGTACACTTCCGCTAGGTCGTGTTGAAAGAACATGAAACCCAGTCAGAAGATCGAAGAAGATCGCGCCAAGACAAAAGGACAAGGCGCATGGACGAACAAGGAGTTTGCGTCTCTTCATTGCAACATTCCGTTGCTTGATCTTTTATCACTGTTCTTCCTTGCTTTCAAAGGAGTGAGCGTAAAGCGTTAAGAGTATAGACACGGAGCAGACGGGAAGACAACAAATTGAATATGGCACGTTGCGAACTTCGCGGGGACCCCCCGCTGCTCCAGCAGGGGAAGCTCGTCGAGGTGGACAATTGCGAACTGAAGATGAAGAACGGGCTGACGGGAAGCTTGCCCACACGTCACGAGCGCGTGCCACTTGTAGAACGGCCCAGGAGAACGGCCCAGGAGCAGCAGCGAGCGCCTTCCCCAGAAAGTCGGCAGAGACGGCCGAACGACGCATGAGTTCACCGACGGCGGAAAGAAACCGCTCTGCTGCCACGAGAATGGCATTTCGGCGCAGCCACACTCACCATGCGATCGCCCGGGAGAATTTGGATCCGTCTGTGGGCTTTCACGATCGACGAGAAATGGCCGCTTCAGCACCCGATCAGGCAGGCGATAGCAAAGCCACCCGGTGCCGGCTGCATCGGCATGTGTCGAAGGGAGCTCGAGCTTCTCAGCCACTGCTGCGGCACTATCAGCGCCGCTTTCAGTGGCACCTTCAACCATCCTGGGCTTATCCTTCTGGTTAGCGATGTTGAAGGCAACAGCAGGGTGAAAGGTCCCTGGCTGCTCCGCTCGCTTATCCTTCTGGCCGACTTCGCACTTTGCACTGGGAATCCGGATTGCGTCCTCCACAAACTCTGAGAAGGCGTGCAGGCTGCAACCTCGAAGAGCAGGCGGATCATTGCAGCCGTCTATCAGCTCCCATCACGAACTCCAGGACAACTGGAAAACAAGCGAGATCGGAACTGTCCTAAAAGACATCAGAACTCGACGTCGACGTCTCTGGCCTTCGAGCGAAGTTGCGCCATCTATGAGATCTCCAATCGCGGCCACCGATCGCGAAGCCGCAGCGGGCTCGCAGCCAGTGGAAGAACACGACCGAGAGTCGACTCGCCGTTTCCTCCTCTTCTTCCCTCTGCGAGGCCTCTTGAACGGGTTGGGCGAATGTGGAGGCTCCCAGATCGTCCAGCACCTGGTCCGGATCCACGAGCGGGGGAACGGGAGCACGGCTCACGTCAAAGTCGCCGTGGTACGAGCATCATTCCTGAAATACTTGTGGTTGACGTCGACCAGTGCCTGAGAAAACGAAGTGTAGGTCGCCTCGCCCTCTGCTCTGATAGGACACGGAAGACCTTGCTTATCGCCCGACACCAGAAGGAAAGGCAGCCCGGGACACTCCGATCGAAATTGCTCCAGCTGGAGATACTTCTAAGGGCGGCGTTCTGCTTTTGAATAAGCGCAAATGTTCGGATGCCCAGCAGTAGCCTTGGGACGACCTGGGAGCACCAGTTCCTCAGTCGACCATGTACAGAGGGTCTACAACCCACCCTACCCTGAGTTAAGCGAAGCGCAGAAGGCAGGGCTTAAGGGGCCGAGCGGTCGTGGGAATAGGTTTTGACATTGAGGGGCATGATGCCTCTCGACGGCCCGACATGGAGGTTGGTCAACCGTCAGAAAGTGTATTACATTCATGTAAGAAATATTCATGTAAGAAATAATAATCGGTTGCGTGTTTGGAGGTTAGGGAAGTAGGAAGAGGAGCAGTAGGAGTAGGAGCAGGATTAGGAATAGGAGTAGGAGTAGGAGCAGGAGCAGGAGTCGGAGTCGCATTAGCAGGTTAGCAGTAGCAGTAGCAGTAGCAGTAGTAGTAGCAGTAGTAGTAGCAGTAGCAGTAGCAGTAGCAGTAGCAGTAGCAGTAGCAGTAGCAGTAGCAGTAGCAGTAGCAGTAGCAGTAGCAGTAGCTAGCAGTAGCAGTAGTAGTAGCAGTAGTAGTAGTAGTAGTAGTAGTAGTAGTAGTAGTAGTAGTAGTAGTTAGTAGTAGTGGTAGTAGGTAGTGGTAGTAGGTAGTGTAGTGGTAGTGGTAGTGTAGTAGTAGTAGTAGTAGTAGGTAGTGTAGTAGTGGTGGTAGTGGTAGTGGTAGTGGTAGTGGTAGTGGTAGTGGTAGTGGTAGTGGTAGTGGTAGTGGTAGTGGTAGTGGTAGTGGTAGTGGTAGTGGTAGTGGTAGTGGTAGCAGTCGTAGTCGTAGTCGTAGTCGTAGTGGTAGTGCTAGTGGTAGTGCCAGTGCTAGTGCTAGTGCTAGTGCTAGTGCTAGTGCTAGTGCTAGTGCTAGTGGTGGTGTTAGTGGTAGTGGTAGTGGTCGTAGTGTCGTAGTGGTAGTGGTAGTGCTAGTTGTAGTGGTAGTGTTAGTGGAAGTGGTAGTGGTAGTGGTAGCAGTAGCAGTAGCAGTAACAGTAGCGAGTAGTAGTAGTAGTAGTAGTAGTAGTAGTAGTAGTAGTAGTAGTAGTAGTAGTAGTAGTAGTAGTAGTAGTAGTAGTTGTAGTAGTAGTAGTAGTATTGGTACTGGTACTAGTACTGGTACTAGTACTCTTACTAGTACTAGTTTTTTTGTACTAGTACTAGCTAGTAACTAGTACAAGTATCAGCGGCCGCAGCAGTAGCAGTAGCAGTGGCAGTGGCAGTGGCAGTGGCAGTGGCAGTAGCAGCAGCAGTAGCAGTAGTTGCAGTTGTAGCCGCAGCTGTAGCTAGTGCTGTAGCTGTAGCCGTATCTGTGGCAGAGGCCGTAGCAGCGGCAGTCGCAGTAGCACTCCCAGCCGCAGTAGCAGCAGCAGCAGCAGCAGCAGCAGCAGCAGCAGCAGCGGCAGCAGTAATCGATCT